AACGGACTTTGTTGAAAATTACCGTTATGGGTCATAGCTTCGTATAATTGATTTCTTTTGGTCTACAGTGTAAAAATAGGTAATGACTCCAATGTAATTATTGTTTTAATCCCCAACTTATTTGAGTAATATCGCACCAAATTGCCTACATAGAGTACCATACATTTCTCTGCCAATAATGGCTCGACAACTTACTACCATACTACGACATGATCATTTTCTATTATGGTTACAACTGCGTTAATTCCCAACAACTTTATTTTCAATAAGCTTTGGTGTAAACTTGATATGTTCTTGGAATGGAACTGATACTGTTACCTGAAATACAAGTCGAACCTGTGGCTACTTCAACAAATAACCCAACTATTTCTCTCTTTCTCATATGCTATATCCTGCCACTTTCTAAATCCTAATAAGGACATTTGCTCTTATTATATATTAATACACCCATGAGATAGTCTGCGTCAATCTAGACCACAAATAGCTGCGAAGCCCTATAGCGTAATATTTGCACCCTCTATATTTTTTAGATTCCTATTACAGTATACTTCTATATGATCCAGATTCGAATGACGTGGCCCTATCTTACGCCTTATAATGTTCCTCTTGTTCTATAAGCGGTAACAAGTGTGATAATATACCTAGTACAATGCGATAATCTGTAAGAAGCTGTTACTTCAAGCACGAAGTCTTTGCTACCCATATTCAGTATTATACCGATGTAAGGAGCTATTGTAGTCTGGAAGTTTATCCCGAAAATCTAGCTACATAAACCCAATTCCCTACCTAATTTCTATACCTAATATGGTCAAAAGTACATCTGACGAACGATGCTCTCCTGCAAAATACGGTTGAGAATTAATAACATTTCCTAATTAGGAAATTGTTCAATCTCTCATTTTAATTTGATAATGGATCTGGCAATAAAGTACCATTTTCAGTCTACTATAAGTAATTTTGGAAATTATATTGCTAAATATATATATGATGGATAGAAGGGAAAAGTTTTTTGTGAAAAATAGGGAGGTAGGGAACAACGTAAAATTTAAGTATTTTGGCACTCTAAAAAGGTATATCAACTAGGTCAAACATTAGTTCAAAGTATTGAGCTAAGTACTAAAAGATTGCAAACTAGCGAACAAAAAATCTCTAGAAGGTTATAGAAATCAAACGAATAATACATCTATCTAAGTGTTAGGAAGACTCAAAGTTGTATTCAGATAATAATTCAACTCCGTCTTAGATATCCAACTACATTTTTACGATTAACATCTTCGCTTGTTATATGCATAAAAAAAACCTGCCAAATTGTTATCTCTAGTTAACCTAATGAGTACACCACTGGCCGATGAGAGACTTGTGTCCCATTCAGGCACACCAAGCCGGTCACATAATCTCAAAGAGCTCCAACTTTCGACCGACTCGACTCTATCGCCAAGTGGAACCAACAATAGTTCAAATCAAGAAACGGAGTCAGATGGAGACAATCGCAAGGAGGATAACTGTGATTCGCAAAAGAGTTCTCCTACGGATCAAAAGATTTTGTCGAACTTAAAGGGTTTTAACATTGATCGTTCAGCTTACAAACACTATGGTCATCAGTCTCTGCTTCACGGACAAGCACTTGACAAAATCATCACTGAAGCTAAAGTATCTACAAGAAGGAAGAGCATGGATGAAATCTCGAGCACTGCTCAATCAGATGTAAAGGAGATTAAACATGCCAATTCTATACGTTGGGATGCCAGTAACAGGATACTCATTGATCAAAAAATTTCTCAAATTTTAGGCATACCTCCTCAAGCAATTGATGAAGAGTCAATATGGCCATACAGCGCAGAGACTTTAAATGAGATATTGAGATACAAAAGTGAACAGGAGAGGACAAAACAAGAAACTATTAAAAATAATTTCGGAGAAACTGCAATTGAGTTATTGAAGTTAGCTAAATCTTTGAATGTCAGTGGTGACTTAATTCCTTTCCTCTTTGTTAGTAATACAACGATTGAAGAATTGAAATCTAAAATTAATGAATTGAAATCAGATCCTAACGACATGATAAATAAAATCAGCAAACTTGTCGACACCCCAGAGCACTACCATCATCATCAAACTACCCCATCTACCAACAATGGCAAAAGAAGGTATTCTGAAAGTCGAATTTTACCTTCTTTTTCAGAAACTGCAGAGAGTATTAAATCGGCGAATAGCGCTGATGTTTCTCCAGCAAGATCTCCCAATAAGCTGCCCTCTAGTGCTAAATTTTCTCTTGGTGAAGCTAATGAGAAGGAGAAAGGATCTCCTTCTAGCCAGAACGATAGACCAATTAGGTTACCAGTACCTGCTACCAGTTATCTGCCACATCACCAACCCCAACCTCAAAATGGTGTATACACCATGTACTACACACCCGGCCCCCAAAGCTCGTCAGTCCCTCCACCACAACAATCCCAGAATGAGCAAACTCAAGAAAATGGCTCATCCACGGCAACAACGGTCTTAGGTTCGCCCTATTCCCTGAAATATCCACCAGTCATGTATCCGCAACACCAGAATTATCAGGCCGTTTCTGGTCCAGGTTACGTACCACAACAACATCCATATCCTTATTATATGGCCTCATCCCCATCCAATGGGCCACCATCGCACCAGTATGTAATGCATCCATCGGGAGCTCCACCATCTGGTTTGATGCAACCAATGCATCCTAGTCAAGTGGCATACCACTCTCCTGATATTGAAACCAGAAGAAGCAACAGTGCGAAACATCTGCAGAAAGAAGAAGAAGAAACTGCTGCTGGCCACCCCCACAGCAAAAGACAAAAGGTTTCTTCAGCCGCAAAAACATCTAGCATTAATTTCATGATCACAACTCCAAAGAATCCTCCCGCGACGAAATACAATAATACCCATAAAGATTCCGGTAAGGACGGTAAATAATATTGCACCCATTTCCAATCTAATTCTGTATATTGCCTCATTTTCCCTTGATACCCAAATATACATATATTACGTAACTATAATACAAGTTTTGAATAAATCGAATTAATAAATATACAAGTATAAAACATAATGCAGATATCCTTAGCCTGAGACCATTATACGTAGAAATATAATCAGCGCCGATTATGACCGATGTCTCAAAGTATAAATTTCTTCTTTGAAGATTCTCTTGCATGTAAGAAAATTTCAGGTATAGACTTCCTAATTCGACGCGAATATGGATTGACTGATCGATGAGATACATATTGCAAGAAATTATTAAGTAAATAAAAAACCTTAAGACAATACGGCGAATCAGAAATGTCCCAATAAATATGAATAAGGATATAGAAAAGCAAATTTTTCCAAATACGGGATCTAAGAGACATATTCTGAACATTGAAGAAAATACACTGAAGAAAGAGGAATGCTTAGAAATAGGGAAGAGTAGAGAGGTACGATACTCTATTCTAACCAAAGCAGAGAAGTATGGGATGTCAGTACTACTAAGCTCGAATGGTATATGGTCCAGTGTGTCGCTGTCAATATTTTTCCCGGCCTTGCCGTCTTTGACAAAGGAATTTGATATTACTCAAGATGTAGCGAACTTATCGATTGTTGGATACTTGATACTTCAGGGAATTTCACCTACCATTTTAGCATTTTTTTCTGATACTTACGGGAGAAGACCATGTATTTTATTTTGTGTGATAGGTTACCTTGCAGTATGCATAGCACTTTCTCAGACAAATGTATTTTGGTTGATGGGGGTGCTAAGGTGCGTTCAGGCTGCAGCTATTGCACCTATGGTTGCAATATCTACGGGGTCTGTGGGGGACTTTAGCAAAATAACAGAGAGAGGTAAATTTGTGGGGTTAGTGCAAGGAATTCAACTAGTCGGGCAAGGGTTTGGCGCAGTGATAGGGGCTGCTCTTATCAATAGTTATAGCTGGAGAGGAATATTCGTATTTTTGGCAATCGGTAGTGGAAGTGTGGCCATTATTAGCTTTTTTCTATTACCAGAAACTAATAGGGCTATAGTAGGAAATATGTCTGTTCCAGCAAAAAGAATGCTTAATAAGCTGCCTATCACTTCACTTCCCTGCTTCAAAGCGAGATTGACTAATGACGTTGAAACCTTGCATACACGTAACTTATCATTTAGTCAAATACTTGTACCGTTCAAAATAATCATAAAACGGGATGTCTTGGTAGCCTTGGTTCCTGCTGGGTTCCAATATACCGTCTGGACGATGACCCTTACATCTCTTTCAACGACTCTCGAAACAAAATACAAATACTCAATGATTCACATTGGAATATGCTATATTCCTTCTGGTGTCGCAACAGTAATGGGGTCAATAATTGCAGGAAGAGTATTAGATTGGAATTATAAAAGAAGAAAAACTGCACACGACGCTAAATACGCTCAATTAGACGAATATGAAAGGCCCATATTTAATATCCGGAGAGTAAGATTGGAACTCTGCATATTTACCACTGTATCTTTAATTTGCTTTTCGATTATATTTGGATGGTGTTTGCAATATAGGGTTAACGTTGCACCAATATTGATAGCTGCATTTGTAATTTCGTTTTGCAGTGTCGCACAATTATCAGCAATAACAACCTTACTTGTTGATATGTATCCTGGTCAAGGATCGGCTCTGACCAGTTGTGTTAACTTTATCAGATGTATCCTAGCTGCAATTGGTATTGGTGTTTTACAGAATATGGTTAACGCCATGGGCGAAGGAGGGACGTACACATTAATGGCAGGCTTCTGTTTGGTAGCTGAAGTTGTGCTTTATTCTACTGCATATCTTTCCAGGAGAAAACTGGAAGAGACAAACATAAATTAGAACGTAGAGTTGCATTTTCGAAAAACATACAAGTGATTGTAAATCAAAATTAATAACCATAGACAAGCAAAACTATATATAACTTTATAAATATAGGTATTATTAAATAATAACAATACTAAAATAACAGTAATAAATTATGAACTAACAGCATGCCTATTGAGATGCACATTGGACACCTGGGCCGGCACCACCTTCTTCGTCATCAGAATCATAAGCATCACGTCTTCCAGCAGATTGATGCTTACGTGGGTCAACATCGACCAATTCACATTCATCAACTTCAGAACCCTTTGGAATGGTAACCTTAGCCTTTGGAGGTAAGATAGCTTCTAATTGCTTCAATTTTTCTTCAGTAGCAAAGTTGTTCTTTGGGAACTTAACTGTGAACTTAACGAACATATGGCCATTACCACCGTGTCTGTAGATTGGCATACCTTGGTTTTCAATGACCTTGGTAACACCAGGGGCGATGACTTCACCTGGGGTAATTGGAATCTTGATGAAGTCACCAGACACGTGCTTGAAGGCAAGTTCACCACCAGTTAACGCAGTGGCTAAATCTACTTCAGCTTCGTAGTACAAGTCGTTAGCCTTTCTGGTGAACTTTTCGTGTTGCTTTTCGTCAACAACAAAAACGACATCACCAGGAGTAACACCTGGTTCTTGATCACCTTCGCCGCTGAACACGATTCTTTGGCCATCCTTCATACCAGGATCGATGTGGACTTGTAATATCTTACGTTCAGTTTGAGTCTTCTTACCCTTACAAGCGGTACAACGGTCCTTAGCGTCACAGATGTCACCAGAACCCTGACAAGCGTCACAAACGGTTTGGAATCTTTGTATCATAGGACCCATTTGTCTTGTGACAAACTTCATACCTTGACCGTGACAAGAAGAACACTGCTTAATCTTACCTTCTTTACCACCACGGCCTTCACATGTCTTACACAATATAGTCTTGTTCAATGCCAATTTCGCAGTTCTACCCTTGTACAACTCTTCTAAGGTACAGCTGATCGAGTGCTTGATGTCCTTGCCTCTAGCTGGTCCACGGGGAGCTCCGCCACCCATACCGCCAAATCCTCCTCCGAAGAATTGCGAAAAGATGTCTTCTGCTCCCATACCGCCGCCCATACCACCGGCACCTGATAATCCTTCTTCACCATAGCTATCGTACACTTCTCTCTTCTGTTCATCCGAAAGAATCTCGTAAGCATGTGAGAGTTCCTTGAACTTCTCAGCGGCTTCTGGTGATGGATTCTTATCTGGATGATATTTCAATGCAGCCTTTCTATAAGCTTTCTTCAATTCTGTATCTCCTGCTGATGGCGATACGCCTAATTGATCGTAAAATTTTGTTTCCTTAACCATTTTCTATACCCTATAATTCTATCAAACAATCTTATTAATACAACTACTTTAAAAAATGAATATTTTTCAAACCTGACTTATTAATCAAAATTTTCGTCTATATGTTAGTTAAATAGAACTGTTGGCGAAAGCGAGTATCGAATTTTTTTTATCTTTGGAAAATTCTTTAACGTTCCATTTTGTGTAAAATCGATGAAGTTGATTTCTTTTTGATTTTGTGTTAACCTCCCAATGCATATGAAGACTACAATATATTGTCGATACTAGTTAATCTTATATAGGATAAAGAGGGCGTGGTGGAGCCGTGGTGGAGCCGTGGGTGGTGGTGTTGGTGACAAGTATGGCGTGAGATGGGTTGATTCTAAATGTAGGTGATTGTAGTGTAGGCCGAGGACAAGACTAACCGGCGTGTTCAACGACTTCGCTGACCAACCTACCGTTTCTGACGGAATGCCTGAATTGTTCAGGAATGGCGAGCTCTTCAAAGTCGTCGTTCTTTAACACGTTGACGTTCAAAGAGGTGGCACAACTGGTGTAGATCTGGACATCGGCATCGATACTCTGTTGCGACAAGTAGATGCTACCCTCGTCCGACTTGTCGACATTGATCATGGCGACGGTTCCGACGACCTGCAAGCCGAACTTGAAGGACTTGATGAAGTCGATGCCCGAGATCAACGAGTCCACAACGACACCGGTTTTGGTGGTTTCCGACACCGAGATGGCGTTGGCCTTGCCCTTGACCTGGACGGTGATACCGCTGCAATTGCCAATGAAGACAGACTGTTGCATTTCGGCCTCAACCATAAGCGGTTGTTGCGATGGGACATCGGCTTCGGTGAAGTTTTCGATGATCCATTTGGTGCCATCGACCAACTCCATCTTGGCAGGCTTTTTCTTTGGCTCCGCGAGATTCAGGCTCGACGATAAGCTCGAAGGTTTCTTGGGTGGTGTAGGCTTCTTGGTCACCGGTGGGGCTGCTTGTCTCAATGATGGGTTCTTGTGGGTCATTTCGGACTTTTCAACCTTCTTGAGACCAGATGTGATGTTTTCACCCTTGTTCAAGTCAGCGAAAACGGCATTCATACCACCAGCTGGCTCAGACGACTGGGCGGTTTGCGAGTTATCAGCATCAAAGATCCCGGCTGGAGGTGGTGGTGGCGGTGGTGGGGCTGCACCTCCACTTGAAGCACCAACACCCTTAGCACCAGCCAACACGTCCCCTAATGGTTTACCATTGGCATTGTTCCACGATGGACCCTTGGTGTGGAATTCCTTCACATACGCCTTCAATGCTTCAAAAATGTTCAAAAATTGGCTCACCCATGTAACGTGTCTTTGGTCCTTGTCCTTGTATTCCTTCATGACCCTATTAGACCAGAATTGCGAACTGTCCTTGAATTCTGGGATCAACGATACTGGCGTCTCGCCCACAACCCATCCTAAAACTGGAGCCCCCTCGCTAATGGTACATAAATGGTTGTAAAACTGAGATCCCCTATTAGTATCCTTGAGCTGGTTGATCTGCTCGATCTTCTCGTTAATTGGCTTCAAAACCTCCATAAAGGCCGGGTCCGACATCTCAGGCTTCTTACTCTTGGCCACCAAGCTCAAAAACTGCAATTGAGCCTGGAATGCCTGTTCGAATGTCTCTGCTGCCCCTCCCACTAATCCGTCAATCGCCTGCGAGCTCTTCACAAATGGAATAACGCTTTTCCCAATGAAATGTTCGAATTCAACAACTGATTTAGGCACCGCTTCTTCCTCTTCACCTCCCTCGACAGCCTTAGCGTCCTTCCCTTGCTGCGATTGTCCTGCCGCCGCCGCACCTTGACCCTGACCGACCGATCTCATAGACTGTCCGTCTGATCTATTATTATCAGTTTGAAAGATACTGATATCTTCTAATCTAGACGTAGCTGCCTCCAACCTTTTGAGCATTGTAACAATGTTATATCCTTGAACATTGAATTGATTTTCTTCCGACGACATTGTATTTTGTTGATTTTTTATTGCTATAACCACTATATGTTTATGTCAATTTACCAAATGCTTCCTTATAGATCGTGACATTTTAACGTCCGCGCACGACACACTTTTGGCCAACTTCATTCTCTATAAGAGTTCATTGTAAATTAATATCACTAGGAACGTAAGTGCTAAATATTAGTTGAAAGGTAAGGGTTGTGATGAGTTCAAATAGTTCTGCTAACACGCCACAAGAAGAGGAATTTCCACCCCAAAAAATATACCCGTTAAAGGATTTTGAAGCGCCTGCTGAGCCAGAGCCATTCTATCATAATTATCAGCAAGGAGTACCAATTGCATTGGATATCGGTACTTCGTCATTTAAGGTGGGATTAACTAATGCTAGTGTGCCAAATAATGTGTTCCCAGCTGTTGTAGCTCGGTATAGGGATCGTAAGGCGTTGAAAACGTTAACGATTGTTGGGAACGATGTGTATAGAGATCAATCGCTCAGGTCGTCGCTGAGGACGCCATACGATGGTCCGCTCGTCACAAACTGGGATTACGTTGAGTGTATGCTTGATTATTCGTTTGAGCACTTGGGGGTGCACAGTGACAACGGGAGATTGAATAATCCGGTGATTATGACCGAGCCAGTGGCCTGTCCAATGAGCCAGAGAAAAAATATGTACGAATTGCTCTTTGAGGCGTACCAGGCACCAAAGGTAACTTTTGGGATCGATTCTTTGTTTTCGTACTACGCCAATTCTGACTCCAATACCGCTAACGGGGTTGTCATCGGCACGGGGCATGAACTGACCCATGTTATTCCTGTTTCTCAAGGTAAAGGAATATTGCTGCAGACAAAAAGAATAGATTGGGGTGGTGATCAGTCACTGCAGTTTATTCAAAGGTTATTGTCATTGAAGTATCCGTATTTCCCCACAAAATTAACGTCTCAGAACACCACCAACATATTGTACGATCATTGTTACGTCCTGAAAGACTACCAAGAAGAATTATCAAACTATCTTAATATGGACTTCCTAAACGAACATGATATTGTTCTTCAGGCGCCAGTAGATGTGTCAGTACCAGCAGATAAAAAGAAGTCCGCCGAAGAGTTGGCAAAACAAACCCAAAAGAGAAGGGAACAGGGTAAGAGATTACAGGAACAAGCCCAGCAGAAAAGAGTCGAAAAGCTCGTACAAAAAGAGCAAGAATTCGAATATTATACTAGTATCAAGCTGGAATTTGAAAGTACATCGCCCAAGGATGTGCAACAAAAATTGGAGGCAGAAGGCTTCGAAGATTTGAATGATTTTAACAAATATGTGACAAACTTGGAAAAATCTTTGAAGAGAACGCGTAATCAAGATATTGGTGATAACCATGATGAAGGCGATGAACCAGGTAACTCGTGGCCTTTAGTTGATATTCCCGATGACCAATTATCGGAAGATCAAATTAAAGAAAAGAGAAAACAAAGACTTATGAAGGCTAATTTCGATGCGCGTGAACGTGCAAAGGAAATTAAAAGACAAGAAGAGGAATCGTTAGCCAAATTTGAGAAGGAACAAGAAGAATGGCGTGAAAGGGATTTGGAAGATTGGTGTACTGTCAAGAGACAAGAGTTAGGTCAAATATATGGTAAAATGAAAGAGAGGACTAAGTTATTGAACTCTATGAAGGATAGGAAGTCAATGGCAGCCCAACAGCGTATGAAAAATATTGCTGACTTAGCGAACGACGAAACTGGATCAACTTCGAGCGCATCAAGAAAAAGACGTCGTAATGCTAATAGCACAATAGATAATGATCCAAATGATACTTTTGGAGCTAACGATGATGACTGGAGTGTTTATAGGGATATCAGTAATGCTACTTTAGAAGAAGAGCAGGAAGAAGATAATGCAGCAATTCTTAAATTAGAAGAACAATTATTGAAATATGATCCAAACTTTCATCATGAAGATACTCTTGCCGCTTCGCAAACTTTTGATTGGAAGAATCTGACCTTACATAAATTCATTCATGGTCCTCGTCAAAACATTACTATATCTATGCAAGCTGAAATCTCTGACCCAGATGAATTAGCCAATCACCCAGAAATAATCAAGAAGAATCACCAATTGCATTTTAATATCGAAAGAATACGAGTTCCAGAAATTTTATTCCAACCAAGTATTGCTGGTCTTGATCAAGCGGGGGTAGCTGAGCTACTGAGCGATTTACTTTATAGGAGGTTAGATGGTAACTTCTCCGCTAATGGTCAATCCCATAGTATGGTTCAAGATGTTTTTATTACCGGTGGTCTTGCAAAGTTACCAAATTTTGTGGAAAGAACTACCAAAGATTTTACAGCATTTTTACCTGTAGGGGCTCCTTTAAAGGTTCGTAGAGCAAAGGACCCAATCTTAGATGCTTGGAAAGGTATGCAAAAATGGAGTCAAAGCGAAGAATGTGAAGGCAGTTATGTTTCTAAAGAAGAGTATGAAGAACTTGGACCAGAATATATAAAGGAACACGGTTTGGGTAATGCTTGTTTAATGTAATACAGGTTTTGATTTATAAAAAAGTATGTATAATTAAAGTTTTATATATAGGTAGTATACAAGAATAGAACAAATAAACTTCACTTATGCAAATAGATCCCGATCTCATGATTTAAGACTTATTTTCTAGTATTTGGATTAATTCCCTTTCTCTTTAAGTTTCTCTTAATTGTTTGATCAATAATCTCTTTATCCGCATCATCGTCGAATTCAGCAAAGTCGTCGTTAATAATACCTTCTTCTTCTGCTTCAGATCTGGCCAAAGATTCCTTTTCTTTAGCACCAGCCTTAGAAATATCGTGTGGCGAAGGAGCAATTTTCTTGAATTTTGCGACATAGAAACCATCAACGTTATAAGTATGTGGATAATAACGTCTAGTCAATGAAATACTTGGACTGAAATGTTTTCCACGGTATGATGTGAATCCTTCTTTACCGATTTGTAAGCCAGCGTCAACTAACTTGACATTTGGCCTCTTTCTTAAAGCATAATCAACCACCGATTCGTTTTCTTCAACAGCAACGGAACATGTAGAATACACTATAACACCACCAGTTGCAGAGTTGGCATCGACTGAATCAATAGCTGATAATAATAATTGCTTTTGCAAATGAGGAATTTGCATAAAGTCTTTTTCTGTACGACTTACTTTAACAGATTCGTCCTTGGCAATAACACCGGTACCTGAACATGGTGCGTCTAACAAAATTCTATCAAACCCACCAATGACTTTTGGAAACTCTCTTGCGTCATAATTACAAACAATAGTATTCTTACACCCTAATCTGTGAATATTGGCAATCAAAGACTTGGTACGTGCTTTGTTAGCATCATTAGCAAAAACACAACCAGTATTCTTCATCATAGCAGAAATGTAAGTGGTTTTACCACCAGGGGCGGCAGCCATATCTAAGATACGTTCGTTTTCTTGTGGATCTAATGCCATGACTGGTAAGAATGAGGATGCAGCTTGTAAAATGTATTGCCCCGCTAAGTATTCTGGTGTTGCACCAATTGGAACTTGGGAATCAAAGATTTGTAAACCAACCTTGGTCCAAGAACCAATTGGTTGCAAATTAACACCACGATTGACCAAAGTTTGCGCCAAATCACGACGTCTTGTCTTCAAGGTATTAGTTCTGATGGTAATAGGTCTGGCGATTTCGTTAGCTTCAAAAAATTCCATTGCTTCGGCTGGAGAAAATAAGTTAAATAATTTATCAGCTAGGAATTCGGAATAACCGAAGTATTCACAGATATCCTTAAGCAATCTACTAACATACTCTGCTCTTGATTTACCTTCTTCTGCCATTTCTTTGAAATTTTCTAAAACCTTCACGATTTCAATCATTCTAGTTCTTGTCATTGTGACATCTTGTGGCCCACTAGCCATTTCTTCCTCTTCTTCAGCAGTAGGCAAAATCTTAGCTCTAGGTTGATCAACCTGACCGTCTAATAATTCCCTTTCTGCTTCCTCTGCTTCTTCTGCTTCTTCTTCATCCAACTTTCTAGATAACGCTTCCATATTAGCAGCATTCAACCCGTCCATATCTTCTTCATCGTCCGAGAACATAGGCTTCTCACGGTCATCCTCATCTGAGTCTTCGAAATCTTCACCATCTTCACTGTTCACGTCAAATTCATCGTTTTCTATTTCTTCGTCAAGCTCATCGAGACCTTCTTCGTCCGAATCATCAAACAACGATTTCTTTGCGTGTACTATTTCTTCCGTTTCGAGTTCTGGCTCATCTTTTTGAATGGTTTTAGCCTTAGCTGATACCTTGGCCTTGGAAATTTCTGGTTTACTCTTCGCATCTTTAGTCTTTTTTATAGACTGGCTTGGTTCAGATGTAGAATTAGATCTCTTTCTCTTTGAGTCTTTCTTTTGTTGCTTCGCCTGAAAGTCGTCAAAACTAGGTGGAACACCTTGCTTATTCTTAGCTCTTCTACCCATTTTACCTATTATATTTCAGCAGACAATTTGTTAAATGAAACTATCTATCTTTATATTACTACTGATTTCCTGCGATGAGGTACAAAAAAAGTTCCAAATTTTTCATAATGGATGCGCCACGACCTCATTATTTTACTATACTTCATTACACACCTAGGAGATTAGACCTATTAATACCTTATTCAGTCGGTTGTAACAGATATAGTAGAATGGCATCGGTAATTGAAGATAATATGAGTTTGGATAGAGAACCAGAAGCTGAGAGCTTAGCGCAGCGAGAAAAAAGTACTACTATAATATCTCCGAATCAGCATGCATTGGTTCGTTTACCTTCTGAAGGTTTAAAAATTATTGATTTGAAACCTGGTGGGATAATCAGCTTGGGAAAATTTGGAACCTTTGCTGTGGATGAGATACTTGGATATCCATTTGGACAAACGTTTGAGATTCTTGAGGAGTTGAAGGTGAAGCCAATCAAAAGTATGACTATGCAAGCAGACGAAACACTGGTGGATAACGAAAATGAAGAATTAACTAAGGATGAGCTCACCAAAATGTTATCCAACAGTTCTGATAATAATCAAAATATCATCAACATTGGATCCAAAATCCAGAAATTGACCTCTGAGGACGTAGACAAGTTGAAACAAACAGGTGCTACTTCAGACATTGGACAGAGAATAATTGAGCAGATGATTGCCGGTCATGAAGGATTTGATAAGAAAACATTATTCTCTCAACAAAAATATTTAAAGAGAAAGCAGCAAAAGTTCTTGAGAAGATTTACTGTTGAGTACCTTGGCTCTTCGCAATTATTGCAATATTATATTGAGAAAGACACTCAACGTGTTCTCGATATGAGTGAAGAAACATTGGGTTTGTTGTTGAACTATGCAAATGTCAGACCTGGTGGTAAATATTTGTTAATTGATGAAACTGGTGGTATAATTTTGTACGCAATGATGGAAAGAATGAACGGACAAGGTACCATCGTAAGTGCCCACGACAATGAGCATCCAAATCACATTGCATTGAGATATTCTGATTATCCTGAAGAATTACAAAATAGAATGGTCAAAAGCATAAATTGGCTTCAATTTTTAGAGCCGGAGAATGAAAAAGTAGAATTCGAAACTGCAACTGAAGAGGAGATAGAAGAGATGAAAAATGCTAAAAGAGCTCAGTACTACCGTCGTGAACAAAGAGCTAAAAATATTAACTCTGTTATTGACATGGTAATGGAAGGTAATTTTGATGGTTTTATTTCTGTGAGTACTTTAAATATGCCTACGTTGTTGCCAGAAATCATCCCCACAATTGGTGGGTCAAGACCAGTCGTTATTTACAGTCAATTCAAGGAAGCCTTATTAGAGACTCAGCATCATATGTCTACTGACAAAAGAATCTTAGCGCCTTCAATCATGGAGACTAGAGTCAGACCACACCAAACTATCCCGGGTAGAATGCACCCTATTATGTGTATGCGAGGATTTGGGGGGTATGTATTATGGGGTACAAGAGTTTTCCCAAAGGAAAGTGGTATAACGGCTGTAGGAAGAGGTTCAGGTAAATCAAAAAAAGAAAAGCCAGAACAAACACCAGAGGCAAGTTCTCAACAAGCATCTGTATAAAATAGTTAATGTATATTAGTGCATAATATTAATATCTGTAAACCTAGTAAATTACGTCACATACTTCTTGTAAATACTGCATTTTTGAACTCTTTATCCATCCAACAACACATCTAACATTTCCCGAACTATCTTTCATCATACCACACAGCCAATTGGATTTTTGCGCTAGCATGTTTGCTACAAACTCTACTTGTTCAGTGTACCCCACTTCGAAAACAAAACCTTCCAGGTTCAGTCTACGTATGACATTCTTTACTAATGCTTCGTAAAACTCATTTTCTCCAAGTAATGCAATCGATGGCTCATATTGCCTTACTGATTTTTCTATACCGTTTATGAGTGCAGGTGAATTGAAGTCACGAATTGGTATATATGGTGGATTAGATGTAACCAAACTCAATTCTTTATCAGTTAGTATATTCTGCAAGAGATTTTTATCAAATATATCTCCTTTACTGAATTCAATATTCTGGGAACTCAGTGGGTAGATCTCTTCATATTTTTTCAAATTTGCCATAGATAGGTCAACCGCTTCTTCTGAAATATCACAACCATGAACTTTTAGAGGAATCTTTTGAACTTCAGACAATTCATAATTTAATAATAACGGTATGCAGCCAGATCCAGTGCAGACATCTAGAATTTTCAACTGTCCGTCTGCTTGTGAATGATACTTTTGTATTAAAGCAGATATTCTCTTTACCCACTCTTCAGTTTCCCATCTTGGAATTAATACGTTTCGTTGACATAGTATATCTAATGCTCCAAATGGTTGTGACCCAAGGATATATTGCAAAGGTTCCAATTTTGACCTTCTGCGAATAGCATCATGCCATTGACTTTTTGGTAATTCATTTTTAATCCATTTTAGTTCCAATTTTGCTTGTTCCAAATTTGGATTTGCTCGAAGCAATGGAGGTAGTAGTCGAGAATCTCTGAGTGCTTGTTTAACAAGTTTGGGTGAGATCCTAGGCATCTATTTTCAGTTCTGCCTTGAGACCAAATTTTAGTCAAAGATTTTGCGAGCGAGAACTAAATGTATCCAGGCAGATATTATTCAATTATATTTTATTTTACAAAAATATACATGTATATATACAAGGTTAGACTTATGTAATTACAGTTGAGTATTACTTAATGTGAGTAGAGTTGTAGCTTACAAACCCTTTCTGGCGTAGAACATATAAGCTCTCTCGTGAGCATGGTCAGGGAAAGGTGAGATAACTTCAGAATGGCCTGGTCTAGCGACTGGATCTCTCAAATACACAGCATGACAAGTACTAAATGATATCTCAATATGGGAAGGTAAAATGGCAAAACAACCAATAAATGGCCTTGGGGTCCAAGGAGTGAAGTATGGCTTGGAAGGATCTTGACGGCCGAATAAGCCCTTTTGCCATGGCAAGTTAACAATGGCCTTAGACTCGTCTTCGACAAGTGCATCCTTATCTAATTTTTTATGAATCTTTAAGTTTTTGGAGAAGTCAGAAGAATATGGAATAGTTTTTGTGGACTCAGATAATTTTTTTCCTTGAGAAGAAACACGAATGTATTCTTGTTGGGTCTTAACTAACTCTGATAATGTCTGCTTCACGACAGTTGCAAGCTTGGCTTCTTCCTTAGTTGCGAATTCGGTAGATTTGGTAGAAATGAATCTTTTAGCATCTTCGATAGAAAATTGCTTGAGCAAACTGTGCTTACTTTCAGCTAATTTTTGGTAGATTTCATTACACTTGAAAGTATTACCTTTTCCTAGCTCATTAAAAGTATCGGCCGTAACTGGTGTATCTTCCGCTTGCTTACTGGCGAGAGATAAAATCTTAGACAACATTGATTCTCTCGTGGTGTTCTTTTGTTGCTTGATCATTTCTTTATCGATAACTTGATTGAATTTTTTGATCATTTCCTTATTAGAGGCGGAACTTTGATCACTCTGGTTCAATGACTTAGGTTTGTTTTGTTTCAATTCCCATACTTCTCTTGGATTAGCATGAGCAGTCTTTACGTACTTGTTCCACACGGAAATTTGGTTGTTATCAACTTTGATAGCCTGTTCCAAACCCGGCTTTACTCGACCCATCGCCAACAAAACCTTTTCTGGCTTAACGTTGAACACATCTCCACTCTGCAATGGGAACGAAGGGTGCTTAACAACCACTCCATTCACTTTGACATGACCCCCGAGAATAAATTGCCTCGCTTGTCTCACCGATGATGCAAACATTGCCCTGAAAAGAGCAAATTCCAACCTCTTTTCTAATGCTGCGTATGTTTGTAATGGCATAGGCGTTGGTGCAACTTCCACACCCTTCAATGATGCATCTAACTGAGCAACGGATTCAAGATTTGGCTTGAAAATTTGTTTCCACCGACTTTCTGTTAAATGTTCCCCGTGGTATGCTCTTGTTTCCGCCTTGGCTGTCCATTTTTGTTGGTATATGGTCTTTCCGTGGTAGCTGATCGTAGGCTTCTTGTACAAATTGAATAAATTAAATTTATTCATAGAGGCACGTACACGGCCTCTACTCATAGAGTTCATCTGCTGTGTCCTTCTAGGCATCTTGGCTAATACAAACGGACTGTGAGGCAATAAGACAAATTGGCTATGGTAGGTTCCATAATTAATTAGGTCCAGTCGGTGAAATTTTTCACATATTTGAAGGTCGTGTGAAAATTCCAATTTTCACTAATTTGCACGTGCGGATTCACCTGATTCCATTATGAAGAACCAATATAGGTCAAAACATAAGTATACTATAATGGATTGTATTCAATTCAATCAACCATGGATGAAGGAAATGATATGAGAGAATGGAGCTTAGACGATGAAATCCTTTTGTTTGATCTTATGTGTGATTTCAAGCCGGCTGGTCATGACAAAGACAAGCAAATGAGTACAATTGTCGAAAAGATGAACGAAAATGTGTCAGAAGGAACGAAACCGTTTTCAGCAGATGATATATGGAAAAAACTTGGAGGAATGTACGATTTAGAACGAGTGGACGAATTGGAGGATTACTTAGACGAAGATGAGGATTCGGGCGAAGAGGACGGTGCATCAAGTGAGAAGGAAGAAGATAAGAAAGAAGATATCGATCAATCTAGCAAAGATCCAGATTCATCGGGATTAAGTGATGTTGAGACAGATATGGCGAGTGAGAGAGAAGAATTAGAGGTTCCGAAAAGTGGAAGTAGAGGTAATAATAAGAATAAGAAAGATAGAGTTCGCAAAGTCGACACGAAGGAAGACACAACAGCCGTCGAGACGAAAGATGCAGAAGTAACTAATGAGAATGAAGATGCAAATGATGAAGGTGACAACAATAATGAAGAGGATGATGGGGATAACGACGAAAACGAACAAGATGATCAGGATGATGACGATCAGGACGATGAAGATGATGAAAACGAAAGTGGTGAAGGCTCCTTACCGAAGAGGGTGACACGGGGTGCAAGGAAACACCAACACGAACTTTCCGAACAAACAGGGACGCCGAGACCAAAAAAGAGAACCAGGTCGAGTGCAAAATTGGATGCAGTTGAGACCCCTCCTCCGAGCAAACGCAGCCAAAAAACTGCGACACCTCCAGCACAACAAACACCAACAGCATCAGCGAAGAGAAGAAAGAAATCTGAAGTTCAAGAGTCCGATGCTGATAAAAGTAATACCAGAAGAAGTACACGATCGTCGGTTCCAGTGACGACGCCTCTGAAACCGCAAGCACCACCAATAAGACGAAGTTCAAGAAAGAAATGAATTAACTGTATTACAATATATTGTACAATACAAGATTAATCTAAGAAAGGATAAACGTTAAATGCATGAATTAATTAATTAATTAAGATAAAATGTTATATAGTAGAAATAAAATCACAATATTACAATTCTTATAGACCCAAACCCCAAGTAGACTCCTCATGAAACAATATTCCAGAACTTCTCCCATAAGTTCTTTGGCTCGTCGTCTTCCCAAACCAAATCGTCGATTTCTCTGACACCAGTATCAATATCACATTCTTCAATAGGTGTTAATAAAGTCTTTGGTGAAAACGAATTTTTACCGTTGAAGTAAAAGTGGAATCCAATCCATAAGGCAACGAAAAAGATGTTAGAAATGTATGCGGTGAAAAACTTGGAAGCATCAATATCAAAGAAAGCTTGAAATCCTTGGATGAACACCAAGATAAAAACTGTAGTAGCAGCATAGTAAGCACTATACGGCATTAATATGGCCTTAAATGGCAAAGAGTCTCTTGAAATGTTTCTTGCTTTTAAAATATTCATAAATCTAATGTGTGTGAAAGAGATCCAACCCCAAGCAATCAATCCAGCGACGGCTGTAATATTCAATAACCAATCAAAGACAGTTTGACCCCCACTGCTTAAAACCAAATATCCAAGACAACCAAAGGCTGCAGTAATACCTACAGCCACATAAGGAACACCATGTTTAGTAGTTAAACCAAGAAATTTTGGACCAACTTTAGCTTGTGCCAAAGAATATAAAACACGGGAACCACAGTAGACATTTGAATTAGCTGCGGATATAATGGTAACCAAAATAACAGCATTAAAAATATCAGGCAACACTTTGGTACCTGAGAGTTCCATCGCAACAATAAATGGCGAGGCACCAACATATGAACCATCAGTCGCATCATAATCATATGGCACTAACAATCCAATGAAAAATATTGCGAGGACATAGAAAATTAGAATTCTATATAACACTTTTCTAATCGCAGCTGGCACAGTCTTTCTTGGGTTCTTGGATTCACCACATGATAAACCAACCAATTCACAACCTTGAAAGGTGAATGCCGCATTGATTAAAGAAGATAACCAACCCAAGAATCTACCTGTATTCACATTTTCAACCAAAATACCAGGACCCCAAGGACCAGGGTTACGCCAGTATCTGAAGCCAACAGGACCTCTCAGGCCACCACCACATACCATGACCAAGGCATAAATTAACCAGCCGACCACAGCAATGATCTTCAACGATGCCACCCAGAATTCAATTTCCCCATAGTATTTAACTGGGAATAAGTTTGTCACTGTTATAATAACCAAGAAAATCGAAATCCACGCTGCAAGAGGAACAGCAAAAGTCCAGTACTCGATTATTTGTCCCACAACCGATATTTCTAATGCAAAAGTAATGGCCCATGAGAACCAGTATGAATACCCATTGGCAGCTCCCAACGCTGGTGAACACCATCTAGTGGCAAACTGGTTAAATGACCCCGAAAGTGGAATGTACGTAGCCATTTCTCCCAACGATTGAGTCACCGAGAATGCCAAACTGGTCATGAACAAAAACGAAATCAACGAATTCACCGGCCCAGCATCTCTCAAAATACCTCCTGTACTGATAAAAAGCCCGGTACCAATCGTACCACCCAATGCAATCATAGAAATGTGTCTAGCCTTCAATTCACGCTTCACCTCGAATTGTTCCAGCTCAAAGAACTCGTTATTGTCGGATTCCGTCACATACTGGACGTCCTTCTCCTTCGTAGGAACAGAGCTAGAATTAACTCCCCTGTACGAGTTACTACTCGATTCTGCGTATTTTTCTAAATCACTCATACTTTTGTATTCACAAACCGTACTTAAATATCTGTGATACCCTGACGTCTATACAGATATCGTTACCTTAATATAAGATCTGGAGATAAAAGGAAACGAATACCAGAGATAGCGAAATGCTTGATCAAATTTTTTTCAAGTGCATGTCATTGCGAAATTCCAAGGCATATATTTCTTTTTGCCGTACCAAAATTCCGTTTAAGTATTATACAGTCTTGCATTTCTATTTATCTTCGTTTACGCTTTCTATATATCTTGATTTCGTTAACTGTTCCTCATTTCATCCTTTTGCTATCTAGGGGTATATCAAGGTGGGTTATCTTTGGACATAATGATATGCGGAGTATATCTCTATCTATTTCTTATCACAAGACCTTCACCATTTTGGTAGTGGGACTCAGTAGAAATCGCTGACGTACTCCGTACTTGAAGTATTTTCTGTATATAGAGGGTGCCCTCTGCTGGGTTGTTGAACGGCATTCTAGAGCCTCTCTGATTGAACGATAACGGAAAAAAATAAAAAAGAACATATTGCACGTGATCACGGTATTTTTTGACGTTAACGGCGGGCAATACGGGTCTGGGAAAGATAGGCATAGAGGGGCCAATAGGAGTCATAGTATTCCTTTAATTGTTTTGATTAATATTGTAAGGGAACTGGCTCTAAATTAGGTAATTCTTATAACCAACTCTTAATATACTATGTAGATTCTACTAATCCAACTTTGACTTAACTTATAGATTGACAACTAACTAATTACTCTCTACTTGGATCCTAATTCCCTTGATCTCTATTCTGAAATTTTCCGGGACCCTTCCACGAATTTATAGTTTTGCAACCGTGGCTGTAATTGCGACACGTAAACCATGCAACACGTTTAATTTACGTATGCTATAACGTATACATATATGAGCATGTTCTCTTACACTCTCCCCTTCAAACTAAGTCTGGTTATAAGGTCTCCAAGTTCGCGATTAAAGACTTTCGCTGAACTTCTGGGACATATTTATCGATTATTTCTCTTATTGTACTGGAATGTGGGGTTGACAGTCTTACCGATAGACATCATACGTTTCTTCCTCTTTGTTATATCCAGCAATACCAATTAGTTCTTTATTTTGAGCTCGTTCTAAGGTTTCCAACTCTGTACGTGATGGTTTCTTTGGATGACTCTCTGATCTTTCATTAAATTTTCAAATTGATTATTCGATGTTTCTTTGACGTTATCGGTGTATTAACTTCGAAAGCTTGTTCTAACGTAGATCCAATTGCTGCATCTGATGCATTCGTTGATAATCTAAATCGTTTCGTAAAGTCGGGCAATACTAAAACGGATGAGTCGTCGTGTTTTCCTTTGGTATCTCTTGGGCTTCCTGCCAACTGCAGTGTTCTGCCATAAATTCATTGATGAGTACATTTATCTTCGAGAATCCTGGCACAAATTTCCTATAATAGTTACATAAATCTCATTGTCTCTTTAGCATTCTGTGGAGTTTTCCACTTCACTATGGTTTCAATCTTTAAGTCATTAGCACAATTCCATTAATTGTACGTCCTAAGAAGTCTAATGTATCTTTGAAAAATTCACTCTTTTTTTCCTTCTGCAAACAACTTATTTTGTCTTAATACTTGTAGTACTCTTTTTAAATCTCTCTCGTGTTCTTTCCTATCACGACTATAAATTAATATATCATCTAGGCATATCACCTAATATATCATGTATATAGAATCGAACTTGCATCAATCGCGCTTCAAGCGAATTGAGCTACAGAGGCACAAGACTAAGCAGAATCGAACTACTATTACATGCGTTCAAGACAGAGATTAACTCAATAATTACATAAAATCAGCAAGCCCTATTGATATTATGTCTTAGTGTACGGTAAATCACCTATACCCAGTACAATAATAACAGCTCTTGACTTTTATATATTATTGTCATTTACTTACGTTCACACATCGATCTCCGCTCAATTGATACCCGTCGACATACTCTTCCCTGACATTTGTCAAATAGTGCTCAGCTTCTTCCATTATAATGGTTTGGGCCCTTCCCTCCTCGCTAACTCCTTCATCTTTGCTGTCGTTGCTATAACTGGCTAAGATCATTTCGTCACTGGGGGGTAGCTGGTACTCCGCGTGTCCTACGTTATACGGGTAGCTTGATATCAAGTCGTTCAGGTCACATGCACGGACGATGTCAGTCTCATTACCTATCCTATTATAATAATACACGCTAAGTTCCTCATCATAGTAAGCCACATCTATATTGTTCCAATACTGGCTACCAGTGTCGATTAGAGCCTCAACCCATTGACTGAATGTAATGTTATTGTTGCCGTGAAATGTTGGCGTATTGACCATCGATAGCAGGGATATCAGTAATATATTATATATTATATTGTTGACAATTGTATTAAAGATGAAAATAATTAGTTACTTGACCGTTGCACGTGCTCACGGTATTACTTGAGCTTAACGGCTGGCAATATGGGTCTGGGAGAGATAGGCATAGAGCAATAGGAGTGCATGGGGAGTCTTATGGTTTTAAATGGGATTTGTAATTGACGCTGAATCTATTGATGAACTGACTGGAGAAATTACTTGCGATCAATGGACACTAACTTGGACCATTTACCTCTAATTATCGTATCCTATTTAGTCTTGATATAGGAGCGGAGTGTCCTAAGTTTGAATCACTAAACTAATTAATAAATAAAAGCAACGATTATACATATTAACATAGGATTCCTTTAATTGTTTTGATTAATTTCCTAATGCCATTTGTTTGAGAATGTCCTGCTCGCAAAACATTCTCTGCGAGAATACAGTCTTTACTGGGTCACCGAGTGACCTGCTTATAGATGCTGTCTCTTAACCAATCTACTTAGATTGGCGATCATCATGGATATGTCAATACCTCAATAGTCCAAAATATGAGTCTACTAGATATGCCCAGTTATCCGCGCATTCTTTCAATAGCTTATCAGCACTGTTTCATCTTTCAATCAGCAACCCCTTCTTAACCCATTTGACTTAATCTAGAAATAATAAAGAGTAGTGGAGATTTCTTAGATTGAGTCACCAAATTAATTTCATAACCAAAGCAATTATATTAACATAGCGTTTCTTTAATTGTGTTGATGACTTAAAAGGCTTCATTTTGCTTCATTTCGCAGCCGGTTGCGAAATATTCTGCCTATACTTTAAAATAATTCTACTATAAAAGGAAGCCAAATCAGTTCGTATTTGCTTTACATTGTATATTATAACTAGCTTGGCTGAACAGATGATTGATTGATTATACATTTATCTATAACTGTCTAACTACCATGCCACGTATGTACTTCTCTGGCGAAGAGAGTAAGAATATTATAAATGATGACCCAGCGAATAAATCTATCACAATAAATCCGACATTATACGACAGAGTGAAAGGTGACTATGAACAAAACATAAGAGTCTTTTTGGATGCTCATTTATTAAAGATCCGAGATGAAATTGAGGAAGAACCTTCAGACATAATAGTGCCCAGAGGCGATGCATCTGTTTCTTTAGGAGAAATGCCTATTATGTCTCTTCTAGCTTATATCACTCATTCATTGACAATGGCCGAATTCAGAGAGATGAGTAGTGATGAATTCAAAGAGAGCTACCTTGGTCCACTTGATAATGCAATTAAAAGATCAAATATTGCTTTTCCTCTTTTAGAACGAGAATACCGTTGTCCAGCCGTACGTGCTAGCCATTTGTATACAGAGGGCTTCAATGAAAGGATAATTCCAGATTTGAGGGATTTTTTTTATATCATATGTGGTACAGACAACGTTTTTGGTAAACCGTTAACTATTAGATCACATTTAGATAAGAAATGTGTATTTAAGATGAACATAGCTCATATTTTGCATAAGGGGTCATTTAGTAATCCGCAAACCCCAGACATTTGTTTTGTCATAGGCGATTACAACAAAAGGAACCATGGGTTGGCTCGTGGGTTTGAAGAGTTAAGAGTGACTATAAAAGACCTTAAGAAAACTTTATTGAAAACAGATCGGTTGAAGCAGCTGAAAACCCTGCCCTTATTTTTAGATGGAGAATGGTCCCCTAGGGTTTTATTTGCTTTGGTTCTAAGGAAATATATTTATCAAGCTTTCCTCTGTGGTACCGATAGAATTTTTATCTCAGACTACCAAACATTCTCAGGGTTTTTTAAATACGAAATTGTGGATGATAAAATGACTATAGACTACTACGTAATTAATGATCCAGAAACTGTTGCAAACGGTATTACTCTAAAGTCTGCAATAGCGGGGTTTTTCTACAAGGATATAGAGGATGTCTTTGCTACAAAGGATAAAATAGCAAACTGTTTTGAAGTAACCAAGGAAACAAAGAAACAGGACCCATTTGAAAATGTGCTTCCTAGAGATGCAAGCCAACCGTCGGGGAATTTCTCTGGCAGAAAATTGAGAGGAAAAACGGACCCATACAAGGAAGGTTCTGATGATGCCTATAATGGTTTAACATATTGTCGAATTATACACAATACCCCAAAACGTTATCCTTCTTTGAAGCTCCCACCCACAGTGTTCACCAAATTGTATTATTTCTCTAATCGATTATGGAGAGAAGATGGTTTGACATGCTTTAGGATTCCAGATAAATATGAGTATTACGACGTATTCATCAATGAACTTGAGATTAATGAAAAACTTGGGAAATCACAATTTGCGTCCAATTTTCCAAAGCTATTTAAGTCAGGTTATTGGAATGGTCTTCAAGACCATCCGATGCATGTATTTGAATATCTAGGGAAAGAAATCCCAATGAAAGAATGGGATAAGCACAAGGTGCACAAAATTATCAAATCGAGGCTCGAAGAGCTCCACCTGTTAGGTATTTCCCATAATGATGTTAGATTAGCCAACATTCATGTATCTGTATCTGGTAAGGACTCTTTGATTGATTTTGGACTATCGGATTGCACAAATAATGGGGAACATAAAAAGAATGACCTCGAAAACCTTGACTTCATCTTAGGGTTAAATAGTTCCTGTGATAGTAGCGACATTGATAATCAAGTCAACCAAGATAGCCGAAAAGTGAAGCTACGCTTCCTGATAAGGCTGAAAAAGATGACAAATCTTTTCTTCAGAGCAAGTTTTGACAAAATGAGCTTAGAATCGTTGGGTACAAGAACAGCAAAGGAGATGTTATTTCAAAGGAATCGCATAGATAATGAACCCTATAAATGGTGCTTTATGAGCAAGTTCTAGCAACATCAAACATATTACCTAACCCTTATTCAAAGAATTGTCTTCTATTAACAAAGACCGATTTGTATTTGTGATGTGATTGACAGGTCGTGGTAGATTACATTTTAATTGTGAGTAGTTAAACATTCAACTTTATAGGAAGCACTTCAATATTATATAGTAATGATACGATTACCAAAATAAATCATATTGTATATAAAAAGGAGGCTCATGAAGGCAGTTATTATAAATAAACCTGGGTCAGTAGAAAATTTTGAATTCTGTGATGTATCGAAACCCCAAATTAAAGAAGGCTGGTCTTTAATTAAAATTCAAGGGTTTGGAATTAACCATTCTGAAATATTTACAAGACAAGGAAAATCACCATCTGTCGAATTTCCTAGAATTTTGGGAATTAAATGTGTAGGAATTATTGACAACACAACAGATAATGAACGACTACCTAATGGTCAGAAGGTTGTCTCTATAATGGGAGAAATGGGTAGAGACTTTGACGGTAGCTATGCAGAATACACATTAATTCCAAATGGTCAAATATATCCGATAGAGTCAAATTTAAGTTGGGATATTTTGGCTACTATTCCTGAAAGTTATTATACTGCGTATGGATCTTTCCTATCCCTCCAATTACAAGAAGAAGAAGAAGAGATTTTAGTCAGAGGTGCAACAAGTAGTGTCGGAATAGCATTTATGAAAATAGTAAAAGGTTTACATCCAAAAGCTAAGATCACTGGCACCACAAGAAATATAAACAAAGGTCAAAAGTTGTTAAGTGAAGGATTTGATGACATTATTATCGACTCAAATAGCAAATTAGAAACCACACATTCATTTTCCAAAATTATCGATTTGATCGGCCCAAAATCTATAAAAAATTCAATTGCATATTTGAAGCCATATGGGATCATTTGCAGCGTTGGACAACTCGGTAACGAATGGTATTTGGATGAGTTTGATCCTATATTTGAATTGAGAGACTTTAAGAAATTAACTTCTTTTTTTTCTGGAGATGTACATATCAACTTATTGAACAAAATAATAGATATGGTTGAACAAGGTGAAATAAGTGATGTAAAACCAGAAAAAATTTTTAAACTAAATGAAATTAAAAAAGCTCATGAATATATAGAAAATGAACAAGACAGTTTTGGTAAAGTTATTGTTATCAATGAATAAGGGGTAAAACAATTTATAAATACCAAATCAATTTTGACATCAGTGATTAGTGCATTGAAAAATATGCAATTTACACATAGTTTAAGTCCTTATATACGTTGTGCAAATGATATGTTTTAGGGAAAGCAATACCTTAGGATGGTCTAAATTCCTAATTAAGAGTGGAGTCTGAAAAGACCCTTGTGTTCTGTTCACCACCAGACACAAGCTCACTGAATAAGGATGGGTAAATCTGTATGGATTGGTTATAAGGGTTATCCTAAAAGATTTCATTGCTTCGTCCCTGAAAAGTACATTGATGGTATCATAAACAGTGCTATTTCCTTCAATGTGGTTTCTCTTTCAGAAACCATAATTGTCTGTAAACTGATGAGTTAGTGCAATCATTCAACTAAGTTAAAGTTGTTAAAATGTCCTATGAAATACTACTATATATGTTATTTCGTTCATACACCTGAAATGATAGATAGAAATCTTCATTGTGTTTCGTATATCCTGATAAACATTTCGCTTACTATATGTATCAGTATAGTATACTTAATAGTATTTGCAATGAAATTTGAAACTACGTATTTTATTTAGATGATTACATAAAATCAACATCTTGGACGAGTGGTATGACTGCCCGTAATATAATAGTATAATTAGGCCAATTCGAGTAACAGGAGAATTGAAGGATTGGGAAAATTGGGAGAACTGAGGTTGACGTAGACTACGTGAGGCTTTATAGAAACAATTATATTATAATATACAGCATAAAATACAACGGGAAGTAGAAACAAATTAGATTCAATTCATTCAAAAAAGAAAAATGGTAGTTAAAGACTAGGACTAAACGAATTAATATAAGACGAACTTACCCTTACCGTTGGTAACACCAACAGTACAGCCATCGGTGCCGTCACCGTTGTACTTACCATTTTCGTAGGTACAATCACCGCTGACGGTGGAGTCACCGTCGGCGACGATCTTGACCTTGAAGTTCAAGGAATCCTTGTTGTTTGGGTTTGGAATTAAAGATAAGTACGCGATTCCGTTGTCATAACCGGCACCGAAGTTCAATGGAGCCCAGTTACCGATGCCAGAACCTGAGGTACCCCAGACACAACCGTCAGTCCAGTCAACACCAGCGTTGTTAACGTAGTATTGAGCGGAGGTAGAGCCACCCTTCCACTTGTAGTAAGTAGATTGGTCGACAACAGAGATTGGAGATGAGGACCCACCGTCAACAACGGTTGGGATAACCATGTTTTCGGTACCTGGATAGTCGGTACGACAGATAGCGACGGTCTTGGATAAGTTGTTAACAACACTGGCCTTGTTTTCGTCCCAAGCACACAAAGTCTTTTGGTCCTTGTTAGATCTGTACAACTTACCGTTCTTACATAACAAACCACCGATAGAAACACCATTCAGAGGTTGGTTCGATGGCCATTGGGTCTTGGACATACCCGATTGACAGGCGTACGAACAGTAAGCACCTTCCTTACAGTTACCACCGGTGGAACCATCAGAGTTTTCGATACCGGACCAACCACCGAATCCTAAGTGGTCTAAAGAAACAACACCTTGACCAGATGGGAAGTCGGAACAAGAAATGGTACCGTCTTCGAAGTCTTCAGATGGATCTTCGAAAGCAGATAAGTCACCAGTTGGGACAGAACCGGAACCACCGCTAGAGCCAGTGGAAGCAGAACTGTCACTCGAAGAGCTAGCAGAACTTGAAGCGCTGCTAGAAGAGCTTTCAGTCGAGGAAGCTTCAGAGGTAGCAGCAGATGAAGATTCTTCAACGGAAGTGGTGGAAGCAATCGAGGTGGTGGAAGTAGACTCGGATTCTTGGGTGGCAGAAGTGGCAGTAGATAACGAGGTAGCGGTACCTTCAACAGCCTTACCATTTCCATCCACGGTAACAGTAACATAAGCGTAATCGTAAACGACTTCTCTCTTATGCTTGTGATGAGCGTGCACTTGAGTGGTAGCACAATCTTCGTCTTGGGCTGGAGCTGGAGCAGCGAACGTAACAGTGGATAAGGCCGCGAACGCAGCAATAGTAGCTTGAGTAAATTTCATTGTAACTGTATTTATTAGTATATTATTATTTTTTCAATGTCTATAGTACAAGATGCAAATGATGGTGTTTTATGACGAATTAGACCTGTGAATTAAACCCAGCAACCAGATATACTTGGTTATAATAAATATTAACAGTGATTAAATGAACGAATATTTGAATAATGAACGCGTCGAATAACGATGGGATTCTGTCATCTAGTTATATGAATTCGTGTTGATAGGTACTTCGAACTTGCTTTCAGGAGGACCCAAGCATGTGTCGTATTGGTGAAAACAATAATAGCAGGAGCCATTTTGCATCCATTGAACTTTCGTGTTTTAAACGGAGAATCCGCGCTTGCATAACCGGAAGTAGCGGTTTTTGGCGCGCCCCCGGAAGATATGCGTGCGCCTAAAAGAGGAAATCGGCATCCAACCAGCATCTCATGAAACCGTGTGGATCGTAGCATGATTGTTACATACTTCCATGTCATCATTTATATCCGCTTCCACGTATACCGTGAACTCCACTAGACCACTTAGTTGAATAACAACTATCACTATCTTGGTACGATTCGTAAGCCTAATATGCTCCAGAGATGCTTAATTTCCAGTTCGCACCGAACTTTCACATAAGATACCCGTTAAAACAGTATTCATCCTATTCATTCATTATTCGTTTATTCACGTAGTCATATCATTAACCACCCAATTTTGCACCGTGTAAAAAATCAATATACATACCAGTAATTTAATCTGAATCTTTTCGATAAAGGAGTGACAGGTATAGAAACCGGATAATAAAAGAAGTTCAGTTAAATTTAACGACAGTAAAGTAGATTCAACAAAATTTCAAAGAAAGACCTACGAAATATCTAGAGGAAATGTGCTTAATTTAAACAATTTCAAGGTTTGGGATCATTGGCTATTCAGAAATGTACAATCGGGCATCGATACAAGAAAATCTGCAAGCGACGCGAGCTGGTTTGGTCTTGTTATAGACACCGGTGCAGGAAGTTACTTGATTTGTTTAACGGTTTTCCATTCGCGTAGTTTACAATTGATAATTCCGAGGGTGAATAATCAACATTACAGCATGAACACCTAAATATACGAGCATATTCACCAACGTAAGGAGTTCTTGGTCATCATATCATGATCGAACAGCTATGTAATGAAGCCTAGAAATCGTACTTGCATGAGGTATGTTATAGTGAAACTGTAATTGAACAATTTCCAAACATTCCATAGTCCTCCATTTCAGGTAAAAAGGAGTGAGAGGAGTGTTTCAGTGGGTGATGCTGATCTACAAAACGTATGCCCGTATCGTTTGGCGTATGATTTGCTTGTAGTAGTCGTAGTTATGTGATGAGTAAAGTAGGCTTGGGAGCAAGGCCCTGGGGAATCACCGCGAGATAATATGAAGGAATGTTACAGGCATTCCAGTTGATAAGCCATATCATGAAACCATGTTAACTTATTGAATGACCAACATCGATACCGTCACATATTAGAATTGGAACTGATTAGTACCCAAATAAACTAAACAATGCGAGACATGTTTACTTACTTCAAATTGTATGACCTGAAAGCTATATTTTGTGGATTCTGTAGATTCTGAGAATTCTGAGAATTCTGGTAAATAATATCAAAATTGCGTACATGTTAGAAATCAGTTGTAGGCTCGCAGAAAGCTGGACCGGAATACACCACTCTTCTTCACGACGATTGCTGTTATCCCAAACGGATACATTTAGCTAATCGATACAACGGTGATGTAATTACTAGTGGCATTGTGCTTCAGAGTAGCCAGTACTACTCTGTATTGCCCAATTGTTCACAAACAAGAAGTCTATAGCCAACAGGCCCAAAGCCATAATAATGCGGGTTTTCTTATCAAATAACAACAATAGTTTTTTTGACAACTATTGCTCTCGATTCTCTGTATTATATATCTCTACATTATGTCCATGCGGCATATACTAGTGCTTGCAAAACATGGTGCTTGCAAAAATCTCCATTAGGTTTGTGTTCTAATCGACCTTCCTTGACGATCACGTGATTCAAAAAAGTATTTTGTAATGATCATCACTACATAGTAATTTTTCAGTCCAAATCTGTTCTAGATGGTATTGATAAGTGAATATTTTTGGACTGTAAGAGAAAATGGCAGAAAAAAATACATTAGACAGCGTTAGCAAGGACGTAGATTCCCAACAAGTTGAAATGAATGCGTCTGCTGCAGTAGAAGAGGTAGCTACCGAACCCAAATCAATGGATTTACATGGTACTATTGAAGACGGTCAGAAAGATATTGGTGTCAGACCGGATTATGAGGATAATAATGCTAATTGTGGTAATGCCGAAGGTTCTACGGAGTGTTTAAATGCAGTTGATGAACCAAACGAAGCGGAATCCGCGAATTCATTAGATAGGACTGTTGCATCTAGCCAAACGAAAGAGAATGCTACTGATGCCATAAACAAGGAAACGATGAATGATAAGCTAGAAAGAGACGAAGAAGTGGCGAAAATGGATGATATTGAAGAAGAGACCAAAAAGGATGAACAAAATACCACTAAACAGGATGAGATCAACGAAAATGTCACTAAGGATGAGATCAAAGAGAATACTAGTAACCTGGATGAAATAGAAGAACAAATCTCTAGACAGGATGCAACCAAAGAAGAAGACGCGGCTAAAGTGGATGGCGACGTCAAAAGCGAGACCGTATCTGAGGAGAATGAAAATGAAAATGTAGACAAGTTAATAAACTCAAAGCCCACAGAGAGAGTTGAATCGTACTCTGATGATGAAATTGAATTGGACGAAGGGGAGTCGTCAGATTCAGGTGACTCAAGTGAAGACTCAGACTCGAGTTCCGATTCCGATTCAGACTCTGATTCGAGCTCAGAAGGTGACGATAAGAAAGTGTTGCCTGACGATATAGACGATTTGGCAGATGATGAAGATGAGCCATCAAACGGACCAATTGTTTCAAAAAATGAGGTATCTGACGAATCGGCTCCTAAATTGCCAGAGAATTACAAGATTCCTGATAATGCACCTTTGGAACTAATCGGAGAGATTACTGGACTAGTTGAAAAAAGTGCCATTATCAAGGCCAATATTTCGGGAGAATTCAGGGTACTTAATGACAGTTCAATTTTTTGTTTCGAAGATAGAACTGTATTAGGGCCATTGTTTGAAACATTTGGAAGATTGCAATCCCCGATGTATCGTGTTAAATTTGATGACGAAAATGAATTCAACAAACTAAAGGATAAGAAAGGTGCTAAGGTATATTACGTAGTTCCAGATTCGCAGTTTATATACACCGATACCATTAAAAATCTGAAAGGGACAGATGCAAGTAACTGTCATGATGAAGAATTACCGGAGGAAGAACAAGAATTCTCAGATGATGAAAGAGAATTAGCAGCTAAACAATCAAAGAAGAGAAAGAAGAAAACTAAGAATACCAAAGATAGTTCTGTGCTGAATGACCCCCAACCACCAAAACAATCGAATAATAGAAAAAGACATCATGGTAACGCTAATAATGCAGAGAATCAAAATAGTAACCAAAATTTAAAGTACCAACCATACGGATATCCACAGAATAATCATGCTGAACAATTTAATATACCTCCTGCAAATACCGTACAGCATCAGCATAATAATCCATTGATTCATAGTTTACCAAATCTACAAGTCCAACAGATTTTGCAGCTTCAACAACAACAACAACAACAACAGCAACAACAACAGCAAGGTTACGTGCCTCATGTACAACCACCTCAACAACCACCTCAACAGCATGCTTATTTTCCATCACCACAGCAAGCATACAACCAACCTCAGTTACAAAATCAATTCCAAGGTCATTCACTGGTTTATGGTAGCCCATACAATCAACATCAGCAACATAATATGTTAGGTCACAATCAGCATCCTGTTTATAATCCAAACCAACAACTTCCAAATCCATATTTTCCCCAAGGCACCACAAACTCCTATGTTCCTAATGTTCCTCAGAATAATTATCAACAATGGAACCAGGGCCCTCAACAAAATCAATTACAACAATTACAACAACTCGTTGTCAACCACTTAAACGGGCAAACGCAACAACAACCACCAGCATCCAATAATCCGCAATATCCTGGAGGAAATAATCCACCGCAAAACTAGAAATGCAATATTTATTAACATTTAAATATGTACAACTATGTATATAGTCTCTATAAATGAACCACTTTATTACTTTATTAATTTTAAAGCCTCTCGAGCTTTATATAATGCTGATTTAGGGAATCCTGCCATTTTTGCAACTTCAAGAGCGTATGATCTATCACTAATACCCGGCTCGAGTGCATGATCTATAATTAAATTGAAATTTCCATCCTCCAGCGAGGTATCCTTATGCAACACTTTCGTCCTGAAATACCGAATTTTATCTTGTTTAACGTTGTTGGCAATTAATAGGCTTTCAAGCTCTTTACCAAAATGAGTTGCAAATAACGTTCGGCACTTATTAACATGGAGCAAATCCAACAAAGTTGCATATGCAATTGCTAATCCTTCCTTTCCACTTGTTCCCCGACCAATCTCATCAACAATAGCCAATGATCTTGGTGTTGCATTCTTTAAAATATTACTTGTTTCTACCATTTCGACCATGAAAGTGCTCAAGTCACTGTAAAGGTCGTCAGATGCTCCAATCCTTGTGAATATCTTATCCACTATTCCTAGGCTCGCTTTTGTAGCTGGAACAAATGAACCAATTTGGGCTAAAATAACAATAAGGGCATTTTGTCGCAAATACGTGCTTTTCCCTCCCATATTTGGACCTGAGATCACCCATAAATTGCCATCAGAGCCAACCTTAGTATCATTAGGAATAAACATATCACTGACACTTTTCAACCCAGATTCCACCACAATATGCCTGCCACCAACAATGTTTAACTGAGGAGTTTTTACAAACTTCGGACACACTAAGTTATTTTCTTCCGCTAAATTTGCAAACGAAGATGTAACATCAAGATAATCAACTAATTTGCTAACATTTCGTATTTCTGAAATTCTATTTAAAACCTCTTGACGCAATGTATCAATTATTTCCTTCTCAGACTCCTTGATAATATCAATTTGCTCATCAATTAACGCTTGCAACTTTCCCCAGGCTTCTGGTTTGTATAGTAATGAACCTTTTCTCCTTTCACGAATATCTACTGATAACAATTTATAAGCCTCGTCTATCAGCTTTTGCTTACCTGAAATATACAAAACATTAATGTATCTCCCATGTTGGGACTTCTTTATGATAGTTAGTTTGGAATCAATTTCTTGAATTTGTGTCCGTATAGAGTTTATTAAATTACTTTCCTGAAATATAAGTTCATCTAATTTATTATGAGCTTCTTTCAATATTGGGTCATAATCTTTCCTGACTGCAAAAAAAGTACCAAGTTCCGATTTCTGTTTCCTTATGCCTTTATATTTTTCGATAGATTGATTACTATTAGAATATAATGCAGAAGATTCATCAAATTCCTCTGTTTCGTCTTGATCAGTTTGTGAAATGTCATCGGTAGCAATTTCAGTTACATTGAGTGTAGAAAATATCTTCTCAGCTACAGTTCTGCTTACTTTGAACTGCTTGAGAAATGGATCCAAGACTTTTCTTGCAAAAATATCCTTTTTGGCTTCTTCTCTGAGAAACGAATGAAGGCTTTCTAGTTTAGTTAAGCCATCACCAATGTACTGTAGATGTGCTACTATATCACCAGTACCAAATACGAGCCTTTGTACTGAACGAATAAAATCACCCAACTGCGCTAATTGGGATCTTAAAGATACTTTAAGGTAATTATTTTCTTTAAAAAGAATAACAAACTCCTGTCTACGACGAAGTTCAGATATATCCAAAATTGGCGACTTAAGCCATTGCGTTAGCAAACGAGTTCCTGATGGTGTTATAGTCCTCTTAATAGTGGTTAATAGAGATCCTACTACGGATGTATGCCCACTTGTTGATCTCTCAGTCAATTCTAACGCTTCACGGGTTCGTGCATCCATTTGTAGGCGATCTTCGTTCCAATACTGAATAGGTAAATCAAGCGTTGGATCTGTATCAGGGAGATTAACGTTAATATAAGATAGAATCATATTCATTGCCATTTCTTCCTTAATCGAAAAGCTTTCTAATTTCTTTCTTGTGGTTTGCAAATTTGTCTTGAATTGAAGTTTTAAATCCTTGTAGACAGTCTTGTGATAGCGAATAAAGTATTTCCTTAGATCTTGTAGGCACAGGTGCCATTGACCATTAGTTAAGTTATCGTCTTGAAATTCCTTTGAAATTATTATTTCGCTTGGGTTAATTCGTGATACATCCGCTATGAGCTCACCTAGAGTGGTTTGTTGTACATAAAACTCACCAACCGATATATCGATCCATGAAAGTCCAATGCATAGATCTAAATCAGCAGGAGTTTTAGTGAATTTAGCAGGAAACGCGATTGCAACTAGATAGTTATTCTGATTATAGTTCAAAAATGTTTCGTCCACAAGAGTGCCTGGGGAGACAATTCTTGAAATTTTACGATGGATAATTGACTCATTTATGCGTCTTTCAAGGGGATATTGATCTATAATTGCGACGTTTACTTCTATGTCTTGCACTAATGATTTGACAAATTTTTGCAATTGATATGTTGGGAATCCAGCCATTGGTATAGAATAACTATTCGTTTTCCTTGTGGCTACCTTTAAACCTAACTTAGGTCCGTACTTTTCAGCTTGTTCAAAGTATAGCTCATAAAAACTTCCCACTTGGATCAAGCAAACACATCCTGGATTAGCATCAATTAGAGTTTTCATAGATGCGTATAACGGAGTCAAGGCTTCGTTCTGTGTACGTCCTCCTCTATCCCAATCCAAAAGTGGAAGCTCTGTAGCAGTAAGTATTTCATTATCAATACCAACCTTTGACTTAACAACTTTAGTTTTCTGAGTGTAACAATAAAAGTTCGTTTTTGTAAAATTTCGAAGTTGAGTAGATAATTTCAATCCACTTGAACGAAATCTATTTTGAAGTTGCAACTTACGAAGTATCATATCGGGGAAAAGGTTTTATGTGTTGTTTTATGGAAGTCATCTATCAATTACTTTTTACTCATTACAAAGAGCTATTACTTACAGTAATCAATTATCATATACAATTAGATCAGTATTTTTCATTTTTCAGATCAAACGCGTGTGACGTTTTATTAAATATATTAGAAGCTATTTAGTTTAAGTAACCTTTACAACCAGGAGCACCACATAGACATCTAATACGCTCAGCATCGTTGGTCTCCTTTTCGAACTTATAATCATAAGTCAACTCTTCATTAGCTTCAATATCACGTAATGCATAAATAACAATTCTTTTCTTACCTTCGACTTTAATGATTTTAGCAGTACAACTTGGGTTACAGCAATGATTAATAAATCTTGCTATACCACCCTTTTTAGTGGCATCTACCACTGTATTTTCATCGATCCTAAAGAGATATGACGAGCCTATTCCTGTCTTTAAATAACTTCTTTCCCTGTGTTCTGCAACTTGTTGACGGATACTCTCACCAACATACTCAATGATCATTTCCTTAGCTGCAATTGGTTCCAACGCATACAATCCCCAGTTGTGAATAGCAGATCTGGCAAATGAAACAGGCTTCTTACGTTTAGTAAGAGCATTTAAGTTTAAAATATCTGTTTCACTTCCAAGCATTTGCTTCTGCGCACTGATATCAGCAGCAAACCTTCTGTTATTAGCTCTATTGACACGAGAACTTTGAATATTATTATTATTATTGTTCGTTGTAGAATTGTTAGCATTCGATTCATCATCGTCATGTTGAATAGTTTTAATTGGTTTATGAATCTTACGACGATGGGGAAGATACTCAATTTTATCGGCATCAGGAATCTTTCTGTATCCTTCACTCTTGAATGCACCACTCTTTGAGTCGAATCGAGAATCCAATGGACCTATGACTTCTAAATCCTCAGAAATCTCTTGGACGCCTGCCTTAGCTTTAATATCCTTCTGCTTCCAAGCCCAGTATTCCATATTCTTTATATCCGATTCAGATGTAACATCATCCAATGCCGTTTGAAGTAATGTGATGTCTTCATCATCTTTGATGATACTTTGTAAGGCATCCAAATCAAGCGGGTCACTAGGAAACCTTGGGACTTCTTCATATACCGGCCGTGGATAATCTTCTGTAGGTTGATAAATTTTATCGATATGAGAATAATCTATGTCTTCACCTTCACTTTCATCCTTTTCTACCTCCTTTTCTTCTGAAACAGCTTCCACATCTTCATCAGAAGCTGAATCATACAAGAATGATTGATGCAATTTTGTTTTCTTCTGCTTCTTTTTCAGAGGTTTTTGAATGTCTTCCAATTTATCTTCAATATCGTTATCATTACTCACACTGCTAACAGTCGGACTTCGCTCTCTCTTCAATGTTGGAGTTAAAGGAGTAGTTGATCTAGTCGAATCATCCTCGTCTGATTCATCAGATTCGTGATCATAATTAAGCGCATGTTGCATTGGAATTACATTCTTTTTCGCTTTGTTAGCTGAATTTAACCCAGTGTTTGGCAAATCCTTCTTTTTTCTAAAGCTTGGTAATATTGCTTGGGGTTTGCTCTTAATAGCAAGAGAAGACAACACATTAGGCTTCTGTTTAACTTGACGTACAGCGTTAGTGATTATAGGTGATGCTGCTTTCTTAGTGGCCAATTCTTTAGCCTTGAGTTCTTCCACCAATTTTGGGTATTTATCATGGCTTAATAAATCAAGAACAACAGGTGCAATGACTCTTTCCCTGATGTCCTTAGCTAAGAAGTTCTGAAATTCCTTGATCAACATATTACTTGCTTCTTCCACAACATCATTCTGTTTCCTATTGGATGCAAATAAATCAGGGTTATCATTATTAGAAGTCAGCGAGGAGCTTTCATTGAAATTTTCGGGCAATGCTAATTCCATAAACATTTTATATTCAAAAAACTTTCTTCCGTCTTCATTTATGAAGCATCTTTCACATTCCTTTATTGAGTTGAATACAACGAAAAAACCGGATCTATCAGGAAGGACTCTCGTCCAATCGTACTTGTTGAGAATCTTTTTAATATCTTGGGATGAAACTTTCCTAATAGGCACATACTTATCGTTTATAAAAATATAAGGACGATCCTTAATGTATTTTCTTAATTCCCTAGGTAAAAACACGCCAGGAATAACTTCGTTATGATGTCTTATTGATAATGTTGTTGTATTAGGTTTGAATCTTGATTCATGCGAAGAATTTGCAGATTCTTGCAATTTCTTTTCTTTCGCTGCCTTTTCTATTTCCCGTCTCTTTTGGTCTTCAATTGCTTGTTGCTTTTTAAGTCGCTTTTTCTCTTCTTCTTCGATTTTAAGTCTTGAAAGTCGCAACTTATCCCGTGCTACCTTTATTTTACTATCCAATAACTTATTATCGTTATCATTAAGGGCAATTTTTAATTCAGCACCATCTATTTTGGTATGGTTTATTCTGACATTAGCAATAAACTTCTTCGCAATACGCATTGACTTATCTGGGTTTCCTTGAAATTTGCATGTAGCAATACCCAACGGAACAGCATTCAAGGGATCATTAATGAATTTCAAATCTTTAATTGGATCAGCATAACTTTTGAAAAAATTACTCAAATAAACCTCGCTTGTTGTTGATGGTAAGTCCCACACAACTATTTCATTCTGTGGCGGGGGTCCTAAAGAATCTTTATCGTAAACGAACTTAGGTTGCGGTAATTGCTTAAAGGGAAATTTCTTTGATTTTTTATTTGGCTTAAGGAAGTATGCTGATGTGCTCCCAGAACTTGATTTTCTTGGATCAGTGATATCATGGCTAGAAAGTGATTCCCCATTAAACCTAATTTTTTTCTGCTTGGTCTTGCGCTCTGCTTTGGAAAGTGATTTATCTAACTCCGGGTCGTATATCACTTTGTAGTTTCTCTTTGGGTCTATTTCGCTTGAAAATTCAATTTGTTTCAGTAGATCCTGGTGAAGTAAAAGTTGCGTAAAATTCGAATCATTTGGATTAACACCTGTAGTAGGATCAGTCCCGCTCACTTCATTCGCCGGGGGCTTATTATGCTTCTGAGTTTCCGATGTTGGCAGGTCTCCATTTGTAGAACCATCTATTGTCAATGATTTGGGCCCCACTGGGATCTTTGTTGGACCTGAACTAGACGAGTTTGGGTAAGTACGTGACGACGAATCCGACGAATATGCTGATGAACTTGGTGGTGGAGCATTTCGACTCGTACCTGAATTGTAGTAACGCCCATTACTTCCAGAATAAGTCCCATTTCTGCTATATTGATCACGGTATGAAGAATGATGGGAATTCTCATTATAATCACTATAATAATGTCGTTGTCGATAACCGTTATTTGCGTATCCTCCCCCGTAATTCCTCAGTCGATAGGGATTATATGACATGTTTAAATCTATTCCTATCCCTTATTTAAACCTATGCAGTGACTAGCAGTTATAATTCTCTCCTAACTCGGTTTATCTATAACTCTATTATGTCCTGCGATATCAAGTCTATCTATATACAAAAGGGAGAACTAAGAATAGAATACTTAAAAAAACAAGTTGTGACTTATTATATTTACCTTCCAGTCTAACAGTCTTCTGAACTAGTCAAATACTTTATCAATAAATCGTATAGAGCTTTGATGATTTTTTGTTTATACTGAAAACTCTTGAGACAGGAAATGCGTGCATATACAGGACACTACATACTAGGAGTAATGAATTAATAATATATTGAATAAAAATACGGAGTATAGTAATATATATATAACGTGAAGTGTACGTAATACCATGGATATGTACGGAGATACCAGACGGCACGAAAACGCTGTCAAACGATGACGACGACGACGACTGACAAGGTGTAGCCTGTCCCAAGTGGGATCATTGGACTTGGAAATGCAATTTTAAACTAACGGACTCAAACTACGTGTATGACGACAATTATTTAGTTCTAATGTGCTTCAAAGGCCCAGAAGAATGGAGGAAGTTAGTGGAATATTCCTTCTTTCTGAAGTGCTTCTTCTTTGGTTCCTGAACATAGTGATCCCATCCCTGACCCTGGGCAAACCTAATGGCAGCCTCCTTGGTGTCAAAATGCATGTTAGTACCTTGCATGTAGTCGGCGGATGATTGGTAACCAATTAAGTCGTTTTCCCATCTGTTTCCCTTGCCCAATACATCCCAGTTCAATTTCCAGTGGCTTCCGTTATGGTTACTAGATTGTGTGGCTGGCTTGGCCTCTTTGTAGATTCTGACAACTCTCTTTGTCGCCATTTCTTCTGGCGCTCCCGATACTAATTCCTTTGGTCTCTGTACATGGTCATATAATTCGGGCATCTTTTGTCTAGCACCACTGCTTAACGAGAACAAACGGGCGCTGTTCACATTCAAAGGTCTGGCTACTTGTCTGAATAACATTTTATGTCTATATGTATATGTTATTATATTCAATACAGTCAATCTATCGAATTAATATATCAATCTAGTATCGTCTAGTCTGTTGATAGTAACTAAAATTGATGAAATTCTGGTTGGCTAAAAAAATCCGAGAGCCGGGATTACCCGGAACAAAAACATTTGTGGAGTCACATGATCCCGATATGAAATATTTCATTTAGTACCCATAGGAATGTGGAATAGGTGTAAAAGTAGATACCGTGTTTTGCAGATGAGTACGTCCCAGTTGAAGCTATCGCTCAAGGATGTCATACCGACGCATCCAGAGCCATATCCGCCGCAATTAATATCGTTTGCGGATTATTTGTACCTGTTGAGCTTGCAGAAGAATCCCGTACTACCAAATCGAGCAGAGATCGCTAGATGCCATTTCTGTGCATATTTAGCAGCAGAAAAATACCAGCGGTCGTTGAAGCTACCAGAGCCATCTGTGAGGAAAATACCAGTGCAGCCCAAGCTAATTGAGAAGTTCTTGGACGATTTTAGGGTTACGTTGTTGAATCAGGAGAGATCGGCCAGTGGTAGTCCTACCAGTAGTCCTACAAAGAGACGGACACAGCGGACGCTGAATTTCACCACGCCTACGTCATCACCGTCGAAAATCACGAAGTTATCACCCATGAAGCACACCACCCCCAAGATCAGTTCTCCCTTGAAGAAGTTGCAGGCGTTGCGAGATCAGGAGCTCAAGCAGGCTGGCTCCGAATCGACACCCGCATCGCTGGACATCAACGATGAGGAATCGATATTTAACCAGAAAGAGACGTCAGAGGCGTCTGAATCGGTGCCCAACACTCCATCCACACCCACCACAAAGTACGTCAAGCGACAGATCACTATCGCCGACTTCATCTCGTTTGCCAATAATTTCTTCATTCCCGCGTCGATTACCCCCAAGATGGTCGAGTCGTTTGTCTCGCACAAGCACAAGTTCACCAAGAAAAACGAGTGGCTCCTAGCCTGTGGCATGATTAACGCCGCGTACGTGCGTATCAACCACCAGTTGCTCCAGAAAACCATCGGTGCCAAATCCCAATTCCAGAACCAGCTCTTCCAGTACCAAAAGGGTGGTTTAATGCGGTGGAACATGCTCTTGTGGTGCAATATAATCGAAGACGCCATCAAGGACGAACCATGGATATGGGAGATAGAACAGAACTATATATTTGGTAAGTCGCCGCTACACGAAGACATAGAGAAGCGAGAAGTTGATGCAAAATTAGGACCTGGCTGGGAATTATTCGAGCGTTTTGGCTCGATGGCCCACCCAAACGTCCAGTTTGATTCCGACCCCCAGAACCTCTACCATCGTACATGGACAAACAACATAATTTCACAATTGGAGAGTTAGATATATCTTAGTATTCATTGACAATATACACTAGTATACATTAGTATACACTAGATAGTGCTATAGTCTAGCCATTACCCGGCACTTCATTTTTTTGTAACACAAAATAGTTTTTTTTTCAAGCTGCATCTATAACTACTTTAGATAAGTATTTACATCTAACGTTGATTCCTCTTGCTATAGGATTCTTTTATAATAGATTAGAATTTGTATATATTGAAGAAGTTTGTTTGGACATTTCTTCATTTATTTTAGAGGTCAAGAATATTAATCGGTAACTGATAGAGCACGGTGATATTTACATATTTGCATTTATTTTTCAGCACAAAAGAGTTCATTACATTTAATAAATTTTGATAATATTATGCCTGATATTCCAACAAAGAGAAGATTATCTAATGGGTCTGTGATTGATACTACAAATAAGAGACAAATGCAGTCTTCTTTTGTTCCAGAAGTAGCACAAGAGCTGGATGGGTACCTTTCAGAAGACAGTTCAGATCAGCCAATATTTGACATGCCAGTGGCAGCGAACAGCAACCAGTGGCAAGAAACCATCACAAAGGTCGTTAAGTCTGTTGTTTCGATCCAGTTTACCCATGTGAGCAATTTCGATACTGAATCGTCCATAGTTAGTGAAGCTACTGGATTTGTCGTTGATGCCAAAAGAGGTTTGATTTTGACCAATAGACATGTGGTAGGACCAGGGCCATTTTGTGGTTACGTTGTGTTTGATAACCACGAGGAGGCAGTTGTGAAGCCAATCTATCGTGACCCGGTTCATGATTTCGGATTTTTGCAATTCGATTCCAAAAGCATCAAATATATGGATGTCACACAACTTGAATTAAAGCCCGATTTGGCTAAGGTCGGTACTGAAATAAGAGTCGTAGGAAATGATGCTGGTGAAAAGTTGTCTATTTTAGCCGGGTTCATTTCGAGATTAGATAGAAATGCTCCAGATTATGGCGCCTTGACATATAATGATTTTAACACTGAATATATTCAGGCTGCAGCTAGTGCATCTGGTGGCTCTTCAGGGTCGCCTGTTGTGAATGAAGATGGCCATGCCGTTGCTATACAGGCTGGTGGTTCTTCTGAAGCTTCTACTGATTTCTTTCTTCCTGTCTACAGACCTTTGAGAGCATTGCGTTGCATCCAAGAATCACAACCAATCACTAGAGGTGATATTCAAGTTGAATGGCTGTTGAAACCATTTGATGAATGTAGAAGATTAGGGTTAACTTCCGAAGCTGAACGTATTGCAAGAGAACGTTTCCCAGATAAGATTGGTTTATTGGTAGCAGAATTAGTTTTACCAGAAGGTCCAGCTGATGAATTAATTAAAGAAGGTGATACCTTAATTTCGATCAACGATGAACCAATTTCTACCTTTATCAAGGTTGACGAAATTTTGGACGAGAGCGTTGGCAAGGAATTAAAATTTGTTATTCAAAGAGGAGGCGAAGAAATAACCCAAACTATAAAAATCGGTGATTTGCATTCCATCACTCCTGATAGATACGTTGATGTTGCAGGTGCATCATTCAATGAAATGTCGTACCAAGTAGCTAGATGTTATTGCATCCCCGTCAAAGGTGTCTATATAAACGATGCATCTGGTTCATTTGAGTTCTCAACTTTTGAAAAAACAGGTTGGTTATTGGAAACAGTAGATGATAAGTCAACCCCAGACTTGGATACTTTTATTGAAGTGATGAAACAAATTCCAGATCGCCAAAAGGTTACCATAACTTATCGTCATGTATCCGATTTACATACTGAAAGCATTCAAGTAATCTATATTGAAAGACACTGGCAATCTACTTTCAGATTGGCTGTGAGAGATGATGATAGTGGTTTATGGAATTTCACTGATATTCAAGATAAACCATTACCACCATTAAAGCTCGAACCTCAGAATGCGAAATATATTAACATTCCATTTGAGAATGAAGAAAAACAAGGATGTGCCTCTTTGGTAAAATCATTTGTTCAGGTTAGAACCGTTGCTCCTGTTCCAATGGATTCTTACCCGTACCGTAAGGAAATAGGTTATGGGGTTGTTGTTGATTCTACAAATGGTTACGTATTAGTTTCTAGAAGATTCGTCCCCCATGACATGTGTGATATATTTGTCATTTTTGCTGAATCGGTAGATATCCCTGGTAAAGTTGTATTTTTGCATCCTAATCAGAATTATGCAATCATCAAATACGATCCTAAGCTCGTTTTAGCTGATGTACAAGCTCCAAAATTTAGTGACAAACCCTTGAAAAGAGGTGAAAAGTCGTTTTTTGTTGGTTACAATTACAACTTAAGACTTGTTACTGAGGATGTTAAAGTTAGTGGTATATCGTCACTTAATGTCCCTGCAGCTTCATTATCACCTCGTTATAGAGGAACTAATTTGGAATGTATTCTTTTAGATAGTAAGTTATGTCAAGAATGCGATTCTGGTGTTTTGGCGGATGAAGATGGTACCTTGCGTTCTTTCTGGTTAAGTTATTTAGGTGAAAGTAACTGTGATCAAACAACGGATAGAATGTATAGAATGGGTTTAGATGTCACTGACGTCTTAGAAGTAATTAACAAATTGAAGGATAATGAAATTTCTGTTGATTTGAGAATATTGGATGCCGAATTTTCTTCTATCACCATCTTACAAGGTAGAACTAGAGGTGTACCACAAAAGTGGATTACTGAATTTGAAAAGGTTTGCCATGATGAGTTAAAGTTCTTGTCTGTTGAAAGAGTTGCAGCTGCAAAGTTAAATCAAACACCTAATCCATTGAAGATCGGTGACATCTTGTTATCTGTCAACGGATCTATTGTTAAAACTATGAGAGATTTGAAGATCATGTATAACAAGCCAAGTTTAGATTTCAAGATTATCAGACTGAAGAAGGAAATGGACATCACCGTTCCTACTGTTGAGACAACAAGCTTGAATACGTCACACGTTGTTTTCTGGTGTGGTGCTATTTTACAAGCACCTCACCATGGTGTACGTCAATTAATGGAAAAGATTCCAAGTGAAGTTTATGTCACTCGTAAGAACTCGGGTGGTCCTGCTCACCAATATGGTATTGTTACGAATAGTTTTATCACTCACGTTAACGATAAAGAGACTAAAAACTTGGAATCATTCATGGATGCGATAACGGACATTGCCGACAATACCTATATTAAGTTAAGATTGGTATCTTTCGATAACGTTCCAGTTGCAATTTCTGTGAAGACCAACTATCATTACTTCCCAACTGCAGAATTGAAGAAGAACAAAGAAACTGGTGAATGGAAAGAAATCGAACACAAAGAAAAATAGCTTACTGGTAGTTAGTCTATAGCTTTAATAGTAGTATCTATTAATGAAAATCTGTAAATTATTTAATATATTACTATCTAAGTTTATATATACAAGCAAAATTAACCCAAGCAGTGAATATATTTTAGCATTTACCTTCTATAGTACATGGGCCAATAATATTATTTATTATGGAAGTATTCATTATAAAGAATTCTTTAATTTCTTCAAATGACCACCCTTTTCGGTAACAGGAACAAAAGAGTCTAAATGGCGAATAGAGTTAGCACTGAAACCACCGTTTCCGTGGTTTCTTCCAGCTTGTTTTCTCTTGAACCCATTTCCAGTTTTAATAAATCTCTTTGCGGCTGCTTTATGAGTTTTCATCTTGTTTCTGGTTTGAATTAAGGTGTTAATTGCTGGCTTCTTGCCAAATATTATTCTTGTAGCTGACTGAAATAAAGACCCATACATTTTTAAGTACAACTTCGAAGCTAACCTGTTTAAAATAGAAAGAAAACTGCCCTCCGATTGTAGTAGGTTGAATATTGATCGTTTCTTCATGAAAAAAGTGAAAAATGGTACACGCACTATACAGTACCATCCTTCAGTACTGATACACTATATAGGCATTATATATACTATATGCTTGATCTATTCTTCGTCGCTCGAAGAATAGTCACCTAGCCCCTGTAGTGTGTTGGATTTCGTGGTCGTAAGTTCGATTGTGGTAGTTGCATCAGGTCGTATTACTTCTGGTGTTGATTTATTACTAGACTTATCATTAGATCCAAGAACAGGCGATTCTATCAGCTCTTTGGAAGGCTCAATCGAATCCTCACTCTTCTTTGCTTTTTTCATCGCTTCTGAATTAGTCTCAAGCTTTCTTTTCTTTAAAATTATTGACGATTTGGTAGGTATTTGACCAGCAGACAAAGTTGAAGTAGTAGATAACGACTTCGAAATAGGCTTTTGTTGCCTTTTCTTCAAGTTTCTATATAAGTTCAACTTTTCAGCCTCTGCCCTAAGTCTCTGTTGTTCCTTTTCTCTTTCATTCTTCTTTAGTTCGTCATAAAATTTTGCAGACTTCTCATCTAATTTATATGAAGAATTTTGACTCTCCAATTGCTTTTGGTATTCTAGGTGCTTTTGTTCTGATATATAGATTAGTATTTCTGAATTTGACTTCCTTGTAAGGTTACAAATTACATACCTTTGCTTTCCTTTAATTGTTCATATAATGATTTCCTTTCTGGTTCTTCTTCGAGTATATGCTTTTCATTGGCTTCTTTTGCCTTTGCAAGCTGTGTTTCAAGCTCTGAAGCATTTAAGCTATTCTCACTAACAAAATCAGGCATAGATATATGCTGTAAAAAATGATAGTACTAATTTGTGAAAAATAAAATATCAACATCTTTCTAGTCAATATTTTCTGCTTTTGCGATAAAGGTTACATATAGACGCTACAATTTTTATACGAACAAAATTCTAAATTATTTTTCTATGACTAGCTAATTATATTGAGCAAAATAACGAGGTTCATCAAAAACATGATATCTGTGGCCTCTAATACCATCGCCTCTAAATAATTCGGGCATTCTTAAGTCCTCATCAATATCATTTTCATCAACGAAATTGTTACCATATAAGAAATCTGCGTCATTTTCTGATTTTTCGTCGTCACTTAATAACTTGAACTTTCCGATTTGCAATTCAGTATCAGTAATGGTAGACCTCGATATTCTCGCATATGCGACCTTCTTCAAATCTCTGAACAAAATGTATTCACACCATCTATCCCAATCAGTGCTGTCAATGTCATACATTCTTGACTTTTCACTTACATAAGTATTATAGTTACCTTCATGGGGATTTGTAACAAGGTAACTCAATAAAACAGCAGGTCTTGGGGAGCCACTCATTATTTCTTCTAGGGCCAAACTTTGTAATCTACGATCTTCTTCATCTTCCTCTTGGCCAGAATGGAAAACAAGAACATCCACCAATTCGCCGTAAATATCTAAGGTAGCATGAATAGCTGGAGCTAATTCACCAACAGGACTAGGTAATAAATGATGGGTTGAATTGATGATTGGGAATTTAGATAATAATGCAGCACCCCAGGTATGTTTATTCGGACCTGGGCCATAGTCGGCATACATTCCTAAATCTTCAGCTATAGTTTGAGTAAAGTCACGGTTACCACCGATCAAACGTTGTGTGTCACTTTCTAATAATCCAATTATATCGACTTCTGCTTCCTTTATTAAATCTCTCATTCTTATTTCACTAGACCACATGTCGTTATCTAAACCAAAATGAACACACCAAATGCCGGCAGTAAACGATTTTGAGGAGGCATTATAAGGTTCATAGCTTTCAGTTGGATATCTCTTGAATGTAATAGCAACTGACAACGCCAACAATATGGATAATATACTTAAAGCTTGTTTAAATAATCTCGTAGCAACAACCTTTGCACGAGTAATATGGATATTCTTGTTTCTCAAATTATAATTGTAAACACCACATAAAATCATAATAAAAGAAGCAGATAAAATTATATCAGTTCTTTCTCTCAATAATGGTCCGCCAGGAACAAATGCGTATGCAACAATCCAGATACTAGCCAAAGCGATTATAATTTCAAAAAAGAATGCAAGCGAAAATAAAACGGCTGGATTGTATCCAACAGTAGATTGCCAAATTATTGGTGATATGGAAGAAATGTAAACGGAATAGACACACGCACCAGCATAGCCAGTCCATCCTTCATATTTATATAAGACAAATGCACTAACACCACCAATAACTAAGTTGTAGAAATTACCACTCAACACATTAGCGGGCAATTTAATTGAAAATATAATACCTATAATTATAGCTCCGAAGTTGAAAAGGGCACCAGTTATTGGAGTTGGTCCAGCAATGGGGAAACCGCTCCAGGTCCATAATGCCAAAGTTGAAGAATCACTTAAATACGACTGTATTGAAAAATAGTATCCACCAAAACCTAAAGCCGCTAAGAAAATTGAACCCCCTGTTCTTTGAGAACTTACTTTGAATGTTGTTGAATGTAAAGATGGTGTAAAAAAAGCAGAAGCCAAACCAACAAAGATACCGACATTATTATAGCCACCATTTTCCTTGTGCATAATAGGCCAAATAGGATTGTTCGAATAAGATGCAAATTTCACGACTGACGTTGCTAAGAGACCGATAATAAATGCAACGGCATGTGCATTAAACTTTTTAGGTTGGTTTGATAATGACCAGGATTCACCAACGAAAGCAATAACGGCAAATGATGCACCAGCAGCAATAGTCAATAACCTCTGCGTAGGTTCTTCGATTTTGTAAGCACCAATGCCGAGCAACACTGCCAAAGATCTTGCAATGAACGGAAATCTACTGAAAAAATTTCTGATGAAAGGTATCACCAATAACAATGGTGCCACGAAGAACAAGACTATAACAGCCTCGTACCCTGAGATGCCCATGTGCCATAATGGAAAGTACCAAACACACAACAACAATGAGGTGACAACAGACCAGAACATAAACGCATTAGTACTACTGACAAGAAATTCAACAAACGTGAATTCATCGTTTTCTAACGCCGTCTTGCTGTCTGTTTTTGGTGCTGCAACTGATGCAGCCGCTGGTGCAACAGATTTCGATGTGGTGGTAGTAACAAACTCAATTCCGTCACCGTAGAGCACAATCTCCATTTCGGCAAAATCAATCACCGACCACACGTCAAACCCAACGTCCAACAAGATCAACGCCCACTCGAAATACGCATAGACCGAGTACGCACCCGGTCTCACATGGACCTTATGCTGGATAAACCAATACACCAATGGCACCAACATGGAAAAGAAAGCCAACGCAGTAGACGCCCTTCCTCTACGAACCTTCGACCCCTTAGGCGAAAGTTTCGTGATACACACCGTCCATGGGATCGTAAGCACAATATAAGCGATCATGAAAATGTCGTGCCAATCATGGTCATCTGTCGACGTAATGTAAACCCATCCCCCGCACGTAAACGTCCTTATCACCCCCGATACAAGTCCCACGTACGGAACCACCGAGTTCTTCTTGTACAATCTGATGAAGTTGAAGAGTAACAACAAGAACCGAGGCCCTGAAGTCACCGCTATCAAAATCTGGAAAATAGACCTCTCCGGATACCTATCACCAATAGTCGCCGACACACTAGGAAACCACTCATCGGGATACCCAAACGACGAATTCTCTACAATCTTATGATAATGTAACCAACATCCCACCACCAAAGCAGCTAGAAAAGCCGAATAGGCAAATGCCCCGTGAGCGTACGCTATCAAGCTCGCATTGAACCTCAAAATAACCGTTTTACCGCTTACCATACTCTCGTTTGTACGATTCTTGCTCATTGTCTTCGTACCACGCAATATAGCCTTCTAAACCTATACTTTCAGTTGCAAGACGTACTCCATTTCAACACTATGACAATAAGATGGCCTGAAATAATCACATGACTTATGTCCGCTTCGCTAACCAAAAAGTGAAAAATCGTGTCCTTACCACCTAACTGGTATAACCAGTTAAAATTCACCATTTATAATGAGAGATATGAAGTATCGATATATACAGATCAATACCAGAGGTAGTTATACGTCAAGATGAGTATGTATAGGCAGGAGACGCAGAAGGGGAAGCGATAGGAAGGATGAGAGAAATGTGGGAGGCAATTGGAGACCAAAACGAAGTACTAACACGATTGTAGGTTTAAGTGACTACGAGAATCATAAAAGGCCAGAATTGGTTTCGTTTGATGATATTGACTACGAAAAGTTCCCCGACGTGCAACAGGCCAGAAAGTCGATGATGAGAGAACAGTGGATCAGAACATACTCGTTGAGAGTTACCCACGAGGCATTGAGAAAGTGCAAGCAGTACCACGGTGAAGATGCGCAAAAGAACTGCAGACCTTTAGTGTTGAAGTACATGAAGATGCTTGAATCATACCCATTACAAGGCTACTTGGGCTACCAGAAGAACGATCCATCCCAATAGACGTCGCTGCTTGTGCGGGCGATGGCTACTATGCATACTTAACCATACATTCATTAAAGATTCATCGTTTTTTTTCACCGGCGACACTGCCTTCGTGAGGCCCCGATCCACGTCGGACACTCGTCGTACCTCATGCTGGCACATCCGTAGACGGTTATACGCCATTTCTACGTGCTGGACGGTTTTTTCTACTATTTCATACAACTCGGGGCCACCACTCCGGTTATAACGCTCATATACGGCGTTTCTTCTACATACATTTGTTTATTAATACTACATTTACCATATCAGCTCTGTTATCCCCCTATTCGACCCCTGTTTGTAGTCTGTATGGGTTCCCATTACCACCCAGTTCAGTCCTTATAATGTTGTGGGAGGAAAAAACTGGTCGTGTTTTTACCATATTCCTCAACCAATGAAATGTTTTCAGCGGCCTATAGTCGAATTCCGATTTTGCTCGAACTAGTTAGGTGTTTAGGTTGATTTTAATAAGCTGTTTAGTATACTTAAAGTTTATTTAATCTGATAATTGGAATATGTTTCGTTTAGGTGCCAATCAAGTTGCCCGTACTGCCGGTGCAAGGTATGTAGTGAGTTAGATAGCGGTGACGACTCAAGGATACAGACGAACTGAAAAATGATTATGTCCAGAGTTGAAGAATTCGATAAACGTGAATTGACAAGTGATGGTGGAAGATAGAGTAACGGGAATGGGGGAACAATGTTAGAACAAGCGTTTGGAGGTTTACAATTGGAAAAAAGGGGGATATTTCAAGGAAGGATACGTCCAGTTTTTGTCGGATGTCCTAGGAGAACAAGAGTCACAATAAATATAATACACACCCACGAAGGAATCAATTGAATTAATACTAACTATATTTAGAAATTATGCTACTTTGCGTGAAATTGAAATGCGTCTTAAGTCTATTAAGAACATTGAAAAGATCACCAAGACCATGAAGATTGTTGCTTCTACCCGTTTAAACAAGGCTCAAAGAGCTATGACTGCTTCCAGAGTTTTCAACAAGTCCGATTCTGAATTCTACAAGAACGCCGAACCAGAAGCCAGCGAAGCCGAAAAGACTTTGTTAGTTGTTGTTTCTTCCGATAAGGGGTTATGTGGTTCTATCCACACGCAAGTCGCTAAGGCTGCTAGAAAGAGACTCGAAGCTTTAGGCGGTGCAGTTGATGTTGTTACCGTTGGTGAAAAGGTTAAGGTCCAATTAATGAGAACCCACAGTGAAAAAATGAAATTGACTTTCAGTGGTACCGGTAAGGAAGCACCAAACTTCCACGAAGTTGCTTTAATTGCTGATGAAATCCACAAGTTAGGTAAATACGAAAACACCGAAATTCTCTACAACAAGTACGTTAGTGGTGTTTCTTTCGAACCATCTGAATTTTCTGTTTTCGCTTCTGAAGCCATCGAAAAGGCCCCAGGTTTATCCAAGTATGAATTAGAAGGTGAAGGTGTATCTGACACCTTGGCTGAGTTCTCTTTAGCTAACTCTCTTTTAACTGCTATGGCTGAAGGTTACGCTTCTGAAATTTCTGCCAGAAGAAACGCTATGGATAACGCTTCTAAGAATGCTGGTGATATGATCGACTCTTACTCTATCTTATATAACAGAACCAGACAAGCTGTTATTACTAATGAATTGGTCGATATCATTACTGGTGCCTCTTCATTAGAATAGGTTTGTCCTCTCTTCATGTTTATTTTTATTTCCATTATTAATTAGAAGTTTACTCATCAAAACAAAAGAAACAATAAACGTCTTATGATTTATTAAATTAATCTGTATTTTTTTGTATAAATAATATTACAAAGCTCCTTATATATATAATATCTATCAATCGACTTTAATAGAGCCATAAATCTTTTTGATAAACAATAATCCCGTCAATGTACCAGCTGATCCGCATGCAACCCCGATCAAACAACTAGTTAATGCCATATACGAAAAATATAATAATGCACTAACAAAGTCGTTCACATTCAAGTAACATACGAAATAGTATATTGAATAAGCAAGAATGTACCACCCTATACTAGATCCAACATTGAAACATAGCCACTGCCAGTTAGGGTTATTATAAACAGCAATAGAAAGATATGTTGCAATAATGGTGGATTCTGCAATTATGACAATCAATATGATAGCTGTCAATAATAAAAATCCGTACATGTAATAAAAGGTGGTTTTCTCTAACCAGACAGAATTAAAAATAAATAATAATTCAACATAGACAATACCAAATGGAATTAAGCCAAAGATTAATACACTAAAGACTGGATTTAACAACCATGAAGTCTTTTTCTTAGCTCTGAGATTCTTATCGTCGTTTTCTCTCTTATCTCCACTGTTGGTTAAGAGGAACGACTTATTATCAAACTTATGCTTATTGCCATAATAACCACCAATAATACCTAATGGAAGTTCAATAATGAAGAAAACTGACAACAACACAATAATAGTTCCAAATGGTAATGCAGTTGAGGCATGTTTTGCCCATACAAAAAAGTTCAAAAACAACACAATGGATAAAATCAAACTAGGTAAAAATCCACTGAATAAAATTGAAGATATGAATGTTTTTGATTTGCTATACTCGGAATTCAAATAATCATTATTGAATATTTTATGTAAGATTATCCCACAGAAAGATGGGATAATCCCTGAAACAACAAAGAAAGTTAAAGATATCGAAAAAAATGCTCCCTGATGATTATTGAAGAATTTGTTCGAAGATAAAGAGAATCCCATACTAAACTTCGAATTAATAACAAATATCACAATAACACCAATTGTTGCGATAATTAACTGAATCCCACTAGCAACTAAAACCGAAAGAAACAACGGAAAATTAGGTCTCTTAGTGATGTCGTTAGATAAACTCTTCCATGAAGAATTCATGGCAGCATCATAATCATTAGTTGGTAAGCTTGGTGAATTGGCGTGAATATCGGATTTCAAAACTCTCAACAAAACCACAGCCACAATTAATGATACTAAAAACAATAATACCATTGAATTGATCAAAGAAAACCAATGAATCTGATTACTTGAAGACGTCTCATTTTCATAGTATAAATCCCAGCGTGAATTATAATCTATAGTATTATCTTCACGCCAATACACCGAATAGGTGTAGGGAATAACGGTTTTTTGCGGCATAATTTGCTGATTAGAATCCCTTTCAAATGTAATAGCAAAATTATCATAGTTCTTAGATGACCCAGGACATTCTTCATTACTCACACTCTTAGGATAGACTTCGAAGCCAACAATGGAATTTAATTGCGGGTTCGTTGGATCCCTATGATATCTAATGACTATCATAACATGATTGTAGATATAGCTGATCTTATCTTTGGTGAATCCTAAAGGAAACCCAGCTGCATAATATTTGTTATTACGATTTCCGGAGACAAATGTAGTTGCACCAGGCAATCCGTCGACCAACCAGTGAACCACGTATCCATTTTTAATCAAAGTATCTGCTTTAAGCATACCAGATTCTTTAGATATCAAATCACATAGTCTCATACACGACACATCAACCCCAAATTTCAAATCGTACTGACTTTTCCATAGTCTATCACCTCTTAAAATCTCTCCCAAAGATAAATGGACAGGCTTCTCTGGGGGGCATACAAAAGGCAAATCTCTATAACTGTAAGGCAACTGTGTATTGTCTGATTCTACCTTATTAACAATCAAATCCACCTGATCGCCCTGTCGATAGTATGTCGGTGAAAATCCCAAATCGATAGCACATACGTAATGTATACATAGCAATAAGACAAATGGAATACAAATATACCTCATATTTTAATCAATAATTCAAAATTCAATTTTCACTAATGTATAAATATTTCCTGGCCTGTCACTCCTATGTGGTACTATGGATGCCCTAAATAATGACTGTACCCTTTAAATATCAAATAAAAATATTTGTTCTTTAAAGATTCTATTTTTTGTTTACGATGCAGAATCGAGATCAACACACAGCTACAAAATTGCGAAAAAATTATTTACTAATTATATTATACACTTTGAATAGTCTATTTATCCTTCAAGGATTCCATTGCCTCGCGAATTAAATAATTTCCTTTTGGATCCAAATTTAACGCAATGGTAAACTCTTTTATGGCCTGAAATTTATCGTTTTGAATATTGTACAATTGTCCCAACAAGAAATGGACAGAAGCTTCATCAGGAGCCAAATCTTTTAAAACCTTGAAATAATGAAGAGCCTGTTGGAACTGTTGCATCGAGAAAAGTAATTGCGCCTTTTTAAATATTGGTAATGGATTTAATGGCTGAAGTTTATTTGCCAATTCATATTGTCTTAAGGCCAAGTTATTCTTACCTACTTTCTCAAGAACCATTCCGACGCAACATATCAAGATTACATTGATAGGATTGATTGAAACAGCTTTGCGGAAATGATAGTCTGCCTTCTGGTAGTCACCAAGGTTGATATAAACCATTCCAATACCGTATAATGCATTGTAGTGTCTCGAATCGATTAGTAAACTGATACGGAAATTTTCTAAGGCCATCTCGTAGTTATCGTTACCAAAGTATTCATGGCCCTTCAATGTGTACGCATAAATGAAGTTTTCATCAAATTTAATAGATTTGTTAAAACACTTTATAGCTTCGTCGGGTTCTCTAGTCAAGGAAAACAAATTACCAACTGTACACCAAGTTATTGGAGATTGAGGGTCTAAATCATGCAATTCATTAGCGAGATAAGTCAATTCGACTTTTTTATGCAAATGCCACAACAAAGTAGAATAGTATTCCATGTCTTCAAGTCTTGTTCTATCTAATTTCCTTAATTTAACAAAGAAGTACTCCGATTGTTTATAATTTACAATTTCATAATGCAATCTTCCCAACTTACTCAATACCCAGGGGGTTTCCTTCTCCTTCTGGGGCAATGACTCAAGAATCCTGATAGCTTTGTAACAGTCATATTTACACATACTTTTGAAACCCTTAGAAAATACTATGTAAAGTTCTAACAAATAATTATCGCCTAATTCAATTTCTTTATTAGCCATAATACTCAATGGTGCTTGGTGACGCTCATTACTGGTATGAGTGTTGGCAGAAAAAGTATTAGGACTATTTCTTTTCAAGCTACCACGCGCAGCTGTTCGCTTGTTAAGATTATTAGTATTTATGTTAGCTGGTGCATTATTATCTGTGGGCTTATTGTTATTAGGTTGGGAAATCAATCTAGAAGTTATCTTAGAATAGGTGCTTTCCCGTTTACTTTTTCTTGAATTCGGATCTATACTTAATGAACTGGTTGTGTCTATTGGAAAACTTGGCTTGGTAAATTCGAATCGATTAGTTAATGGTTCATTATTTCCGGCTTTCCTTAAAGGTGCATCTGGTACACTCGGTACTGTCACTCTGGGAGTAGATATCAGGTTACTGAAACTATCGTCTGCTTGTAAATTTGAATTTGGTTTATTACCATTGATATTATTAGGATTTGCATTCGTATTATTGTTATTAGTCTCATTAGTCAGCGTAGTAGCAGAAAACGGATTGGTTATATTATTCCCACTCATATCATTTAATATTTTAAGGTTATCCTTTTCTTTAATTTGTGATTGATATTCACTATTGAAAACCAGGTTTGACTTGTAGATTGCCTTGACCTTGACATTGACACCTAACTTGCATAACTCCTGGAATGCTTCATAGTCAAACTGATTATACTTTAAAGCTTCTCCATAATTAAGAGCACTATTCTTAGTATCACCCATTCCCTTATACAAATCCCCTAATAGGCGATAAATGGTAGACAGATCAGGAAGAATTGATCGAGCATTTTCATAGTTGTATCTCGATTGGGGCGTCGTAAAATACGCTGGATTGAATTTATCATCCTGATAGAATGAAGATGTTTCATTATAAAGATAACTTATCTTAAGCAACTGAAAAATTCCTTCCTTGTACTTTTTCAATTTCAAACACAGTTTCGCATACATGAAGCTGCAACCCAAATGGTCCGATAAATTGCTGGATTTGTTATAGCATGATTTATATCTTTCTCTTCTAAACAATGTAAGGCAATATAGGTATACAGAATCTAGATTTTCAGGATCATCAGCTAACAATCTTTCACAAGCAAACTCTGCATTCGAATAGTTGAAGTGATCTAATGAATGAATTATGATCGACCTTAGATGCTGTTGAATGTAGGACTGATCCGGATGTATCTGCATAACTAAATATCTTCAACACTCTATTTATATTACCCACGATATGGAAGTACAACGTCAATTATTAAAGGTGTCTCTAACTAATAAAGCTATATTTGTGTTGACTATATTTTGTTACAAATAAAAACAATTTATGGGGATTTCGAATCTTCACTCACGTGAGGAATGCTTGATCTGCTAAACAAAAGTAGTATACATTAAAGACTATATATGTTACAATATTAATTTTATCACAGATTAATGATTAGAATATTAAATAAAAATTATTAAAGAATAATATTAAGGAAAAAAATCATGGGAGCCAATAGACATAAAAAATCATTCAAACAAAACCTTCATTTCTTAGGTTTAATAACAAACGTATGATTACCCGAACCATCATTGCTATATGCCAACATTTTTTCTGAATTGTTTCTCTTCTTTGATGAGCCACTTATAATTCTACCATTGCTATATGGATGCTTAGGAGTGATTTCTGAATTGCTGGATTGGGAATCATTGTAATAGTCTAAATTAGGTCTCAGGTTCAGGTTCAGGCTCAGTTTTGGGGTACCAGAAGAAGATCCAGTATTACCACTATTAGTCAGCTTAGGCGAAAACACTCCTGAAGCTAACAAATAAGGGGAAGCAAATCCAGGTTGTGATATTTGAGGAGTGGAAGGTCCTTTGTAGTTCTTAGCTGAGGTATCAACAGTTAATTTTGGAGCTGAGTTGTGTGCAGAAGACAAAGTAGATTCATCAAGCGAATCGATCATAGGAGAATTCTCGCCAGAAGTATTACTGAATTCATTCACAAATTGGGAGTAATAGCTATCCAGCAGTTCATTGTTCTGCGCATCTCTAACGTACCCCTTCTCTCTCAATTCTTCATCCTTTAATTTTGTTTCTTCTCTAGCTTTAGCAAGTAACTCTTGAGCCTTATTCAATGTAACAGTAGGGGTGGAACATGAACTTACAACTGGTACTGTATCATCAATGTCAATAGTAGAAGTCATTAAGGCCTTGAGCCAACCTCTCATCTCTTCCTGAGAATCAACTGCAAAATAATGAGTCTTTGGTTGAGTGAAGGTTAAACCCTTCCTAAAACCAGGGGCTGGTGGCACCAACTTAAAACAATATCTACCAAATCCAGTGGATGATGCATATAGCGCAATATATTTATCATTGGCAACTGCATTCTCGTTATCAGTGCTGACAGGTAAAACTTTATGTGCAGTGATATCAATCAAACCTCTTTCACGCTTATCACGCAACGATGTAAAGTACAGTAACCGCGTGCCATGAAGAGTGAAGTATCTTGATCTCCAACCTAAGGTACTACCAGATTTTTTTGCCATCCAACCACTAAAAGTAGCTGTTTTAATAGCCTCATCGGGGGTAATTTCTCTAATTCCTTCAGTAAATGCGGAAGTTTTCAGTTTTTTCAGATTCTTTAAATTACGGAAGTTCTGGGTAGACGCTGTTCTCAATGTCTTAAAACGCGATACTTGGTTCGTTTCCGACGCTGATCTCTTTTCTTCAAGCTCTTTCTTAGGTTTTTCATCAAGATTATAAGTCATCGATCTCAGCTTTTTTGGAGACAAATTAACATGATCAATATCCACGAAGTGTTTATTAGGGGATAAGCTGAAATATTCACTCTCTCTCTTTGATTTCGGTGTCACATCAACGTTACTGAACATAGATTTCGTAGGTGACTGAATCATAGACTTTCTCTTGTCCTTCTTTGGAGTTTCATCCTTGTAAAGGTTCTTCGAGCTTAACTTGTCTCCTTCATTACCAGCCTTATTAAACAGGAATAACGAAGAATTCCTTCTGTGGCCTGAAATATAAGACGAGTTTCTGCGATGATTTTTTGTTGACGTTGCTGAAGCATTTCTATTGTGGCTGTTGACTGATTGTTCATAAATCGATGACGATGGTCTACTAGTTCCTGAAATGCCTAAGCCGGAACTTGATGCATTCGTACGTGTCTGATATAAGCCTCCTTGTTCTGCTGGCGAATTTTGCAAATCAGGGTTTCCACCAAATTTATAGCTTTGATTCAAAGGACTAGCGCTTGGTGGTTCTGGTGCCTTTCTAGGTGACATGAACGATAAATCACTTCTACGTTTAGCGATCGGAGATGTAGTATCTCCAAATGCACTTGGAATATTTTCCATGGATTGTGACCTCTTTCTTTCGTGTCCTCTTTGCAAATCCCGGGTATTGTCTCTCTTCGATGGGGTTGAAGATACTAAATTAGCTGAGGGCATTAGTTGAGTTTGAGACTTACTATAAGTTGTGTTGTTGGTATCTTCATCAGAGTTATTAGGAAACGAATGTAATTTGTAGGGAGAGGAATGTTTAGAATCTGTAGGGCTGGCAATATCTTCCGAATCTGATAAATCTTGAATAATGGAATTCTTGTTGTTATCCCTCTTATGGTCTGATTTAGCATTCGAATTGCCGCCATTTTTGGCTTTCGCCGATAATTGCTTCAATTTTTCAATTTCTTTATAGACTTCAAACCTAGTTCCAAAGGAGTCAATATCTAACTCTTTCAAGTAAGTTAAATCTAATTCGAACAAAATTGCCCCTGTTATCTTATGTCTAGCAAATTTGCCGGCAACATCCATATCAAATCCCAATATTATAGCAAAATAAGACGAAACCTGTTTCGGTGTCCATGTCTCAGCCTCCGCTGGGTCTAAATTCTCTGTTAATGAATCTCTTGATATTTTACGCAGATGGTGATTTGCTGACTGATTTGGGGTGCTTGTATTACTGGTATTCTGTTCGTAGAGATTTGCACTAGTACCCTTAGGCCCAGATGGAGCAGAAATACCGCCATCCGATTCAGTACGGAGTTCTTGCAAAGCCTTATCGATGTCACTCATGGTCTTATGCACAGACGACTTGCCGGTCTTTGGTTCGTGGCTAAGATCAAGTGCTTTTTCATTGACATCGTCATAATTATCCTTGAAATTACTACGTAATCCACTAGTAGAACTCTTGTTAAGACCAATATCCGCGTCTTGTTCCACTTGACAGTCCAATTCTGCTTTACCGTTAGTCCCGATACTATCTTTACCACCAAGACTATCTTCACCTTTGCTATCATTAGTGGAGTCATTTCCACTCATAAGAGTCATATTCTGCATCGAGTCTGCAATCTTACTCAATGTGGTGGTGTTTGGCGAATTGTTCTTACTTCCCTTCATCACTCGCCTCGACCGCGACCTCAATAATGGATGTTCTGGCCTCTGGCTTTGCAATATCTGCGTGAATCCCTTAGGATATAACCCTACTTCTTCTGTCAACAAGTTTTTTCCCATATACCATCCATCGTTGTACTCGCTATCGTCTGCCAACACCTCCACCTTATCACCAATCTTCAAGCTCAACTCATCGCCTAATCTCGCGTTAAACTGCTTTATACACAAGTAAACTGACCCAGTAATCGTTTGGTCCTCACTTTGGTCCATACTGCTCATTTTCTCTCTTGTATGAATTTATTGTGTTATCGCTATCGTTCGTGTCGTATTACTTATTGCCGTGTTTCAAATCTCGGTTTTCTAGATAATTCAACCTCTATTACACTCTATGTGTTCTTTTAAGCAAACTATCCTATGCGTGAGTCTTTCTTGCCAGTATATTAAATCTATTCCTTGCTAGCCGCCGTCGTTGTAACTTGTTTTTATTTCATGCTGGTATGAATTCTAGGTCTTTTTTTGTAATGACGCATGTCGCGCATGTCGCATGCTGAAGCAAAATGTCGCGCATCTAACGGCTCTTTGTGTCATGTGATATTTGACGCTATTACGAAATATTTGATACTAGAGGGTCCAGAACATCAAATAGGCCTTGAAGGACGAGATAAATGCTTATACGAGTTAATTCTACCAAAATCGGGTCTGAATCTTCCTTACTTGACACACAGGTATTGATACAGGTTTGCAACCTCCATGATGACTTATGCGGTTATTGAGACAGTATTAGATGAAGGAAGTAGGATACAGCACGAAGAAGGCTGGTATGGGTTGTGTGCAGTACCAATATGACTATTAGATAATAGAATAAGTAGCAGAATATAATGATTTTCAGCATCGATAGTTCAGTTTTAGGATTGTTGCTAGTTAGATATCTAAATGCCTCCTCAGTCAACTCCTGAGACATACGAAACTACATCTGGAAGTGACAGTAGTGAGAATAGCCATATCAGCGAGGAATACGCAACGCGATTGAATACGATTAACCTCCTATCGACTTTAGTACTTCGGCGAGAGGAGGAAATGGAGAGAAGAAACGATCCACGGACAGCAGATAGAGGCGATAGTGGTGGGAGAGGGGCTCTCGGACATCCCAATAGATATAGTTCGGTATATGGGAACGAATTGAATATCAGCAACCAAACTATACCCATACAGATAAGAAACATCGACCGAGACCTGATGGGGATGCATAATGAAAATAACGACCTTTTTGATGAAGAATTTGATGACGATTACGAGGAAGATATGGATGATAACGTGGAGGATAGTTTTGATGAGCGGTTCGACGACTATGATGATGATAGCGACGACGGTGGGGAACTGGAGCCTGAGAATTTGCGTTCAGATATCCAATCGAACGAAAGATTGTTACTTTCAAGTGCTCGGCAAAACCACACCAATACTAATACGCTTATATCATCCAATAATGATGCGATTCCGCTAAGACGGCAAAATGCGATAAGAGTTAGATCGTGGTTGCACGATGACGAAAGGGCGCCTTCACCGGGACCTGCGAATACTAAGGCTGGGAAATCGTGGCTGAAGGAACTAAATGATTTGCATTTTGAATTATTCCATACCCAGAATTTCTTTAAGTACTTAAAGGTATATCCTGGTAGATCACCGATATTCAATAGCCATTCGAACCATGCGGCGTCATCAATTCGTTCTGAATTACCTGATGATTTGATAGGAAATTTAGATTCTATTATGGATTTATTTTTGCAGAAAAGAGTATCAGGTAAGCTTTGGTCTGACCAAGAGAAGAGCCATACACTGCACGATAAAATACTGTTACATAAAAGAAAGAATGATTTCGATGAAATGCCTGCACCCATGAAAAAGAAAAAGAAACTAGCATCAGGTAATGATTTAAATCCTAGTAATTTCGTACCATCTTCGAATAGACCCCAAATAAGAACCAAAGCAAAAACGAAAACAAAGGCTAAATTGAATAATTTGACGTACGCACAAAAGCATAGTATCATGGATGTTACATACAGTTCATTCTTGACCTCGGGTTCCAGCTTCACCTTAAATTATTCGTTTTTCAATGTGGGTTTTCCGTTGGATTTGGTATTTTCAGCCGTAGATTATAAGAACAAAGTATTACAAGGGATTTTCTCGATTACTCCAATTACTCGTGAAGATAACTATCTAGATGAGTTTGCTCAACAAACCTCGCAGATCAATAGTTATCAAGAGTTTTTCTTAGGAATAAATCCAGAAACGCTGAGTGGGCCTCGTGATAAGTTAATTATGAAACAATTGAAAATCCTAAAAAGTTTAGATAGTGAAATTGTACGGGTTAGAACCGAAAATGGTAGAGTCGGTCCCAAATTTAGATCCAAGCTGATCAAGCCATTTACAATTCCTGTCGCTGGAAAAATCATTGATTTTAAAAACAATGATCTACGTTTCCTCACGAAAATAAGAGATAAGAATCATTTACCTATGAGGTGCTTACACTTAGCAAGAACTAAGTCAAATAGAGTGAGATTACAGCTATTAGAGTGGATGAAAATACAACCCTTTGCTCAATTTGAAGAATCATTTTTCCTTGAGCAGTTGAATAGAGCTAATATTAACTTACAAGATTTTAAAAGCCAAAGCGCAAGCGTTCAAAAGGAGACTATAGATTTGGCAAGAGGTCTTCGCGATAGCATGTATGACTTGACAAAATTCTTTGGCTTCATAAGAAGCAGTGACATTCCTATACCCCTTATAGAAAATGAAAGATTCAAGAGGAGAATGTCATATACGGATTATAAAAAGACTTACTTTCTTCAGGAGTGGGAGAAAAAACTCACGGATAGGTTGGTTAAATTCGTCACTTGCCAAGAGCATTGTCTTCTTAATATCCAATTGAATTATATCCTATTCACCTTAACTATTGACATCTGTCAATTCCTAAACAACCTTATTGAATATAAACTCAATTTTGTTCCTGACGAACGGAAAAGTAAATATCAGAAACAGCTCAAAAAGACTCGTCATTATAAATTAACGGATTCAAAGAAGTCTATATTGCTTTGTTCCTTAGACAGGAAAACCGGTCGGATTGAAATTCAAAACACCAGAGCATTACTCGATTATAAAAATGTTTACCAACTTGAGAAGCATGCAAATCCAAGGTCTAGTAGTGCTGATCAAGATGATGGTGCACTCTTTCATCGTTTTTTCAACGGCTTGCTCAATGAATCACCCCCTCCTGACGGATCTCTTACGGATCCTGATTTACTATCTGACGAAAGTGATGAAGAAGTGCAATGGGAGGACCCTTATCATGAAGCATCTTTGGACACTGTCTTGAGAGGACATTATAAAAAGACTAACAATGGTAATGTTTCGTTCGGCGGTGGTAATCTGAGCTACAGTGTCGTTTAAAGAATATAGTTGACATTACATATCTGAACTTAATCAATTGTTATCTATTTACATAGTTTATTATTCTTTATTATTCACATGAATTGAATTTTTACCAAATTCCCCATCCTCCTTTACCTTGTCTTCTATCTGCTACCTTTTTGTTGAAGAAGTCCTTCTTACATTCCTTATATGCGTCAAAAAAGTCTTGACATACCGTCTTATCCTCTTGGTTTCTCAACATACAATTAATTGACGCTTGTCTACTTTCCTCGCATGGATCATAATACTTGGATGGCTCTTTCATAGACCATCTGTACTTGTGACGATGGTTGACTGGATTATCAGGATAAAATTTGTAATTTTCAACACCACCTTTCGTAAAATCAACTTTTTCTTTATCTTTTATAACTTCATCGGTGATTAAAGGACTTCTCTCCTTTTTGCTAGTTTCGTTTTGATTTTCTTGGTTTATCTGGCCCTCGTCCGACATTATAACGAATACACCCACAAGATCCAGTTGTTAAAGTGCCATATATATATAAGTTTTTGATATTGAGACCTCAGATAATATGCAGGATAAATTATTTATTGACGGGCTTCATAACCAGATAGATATCAAAAAAAAATTCAATCGTCTTGATGCTCTTGTAAGCATATAGTTGCAAGTCAGACACAAGCATGAGTCAGCCTATACAGTATTTAGATGATAGTGAAAATATTCCCTGTCAGCGTTGCAAAACAGAAACTGCAATATTGATCTCTAGAAAAGAGAAATTTTGCAAAGATTGCTTCATAAGATTCATTAGAGGGAAACAAAGAAAGCAAATGCAAGATGAAAAATATAAGGTGAAATATGGTAAAAATGGAGAAAACTCGCCAGTACAAAAGGTTTTGTTGACTTTGTCGTGTGGAGTTTCGTCACTTGTATTAGTGGATGTAATGACGTCGCTTTTAACGGAACAATTCGACATGCATAAAGGCAAGCAAGGATTCGAGTTAGTATTGTTAAACATAAACGAATATGAACTCAAGGCGTTGAACAGAAACGTTAAGGATGTGCTTGATCAATTGGTGCAACGTTTCAAGCCAATTAATATCACATATAAAATCCTCAGTTTAGAGTCGTATGTACTTGACCAATCTCTTTTGGAAAAAATTGTTTTGAATGGAGACTTTACAGCGTATTCACAATCTATTCGTCATGACAGGGACTATACCTTATCGGAAGTGTTAGATTTGTGCCCGAATAAATCGTCGTTGGAAGACTTATTGACCATCATATATGATGAGTTGATCTTACGCACAGCATACTTGGAATCGTGCGAAACTATTCTATACGGACATAGTATGACTAGAATCGCTAATGAAATTATAGCACTTACTGTCAAGGGAAGAGGGTCGTCAATATATCAAACGGTGTCAGATCATTCGGTTAATTTCCGTAACAAGGATTATAAGATAATGTTTCCATTAAGAGATGTTCTATTCGCAGAGATATTGGCCTATAGCAAATTGTCAGGATTAGATACGTTCGTTGTTGAGTCCACCAGGCCGGTATCCAAAATTACCAAGAATATGACTATTAGAGACCTTACAACAAACTATTTTAATCAGTTGGATGCAACAGGGTACGCATCTACCGCATCTACGGTTGTTAAAACTGGTGATAAATTAGGAGCTCCCAAATTCGAAGAGGACTCGAGTATATGTCAGGTTTGTGGAACAGAAATTCATCAGGACCCTAAGGAATGGTTGAGACGTATCACTGTTAATAAAGCGGCTCCATTAGAGACTGAAGAAGAAAAGGATTACGCAGAACAATATAAGAAAGCATCCAGCCTCATTGAAGAGTCTAGCAGCACTCAACGCAAAACACCCATAAGTATATGCTATGGTTGTACTGTAACTATTAGTGGTATTAAGAATGAAAGTGGATTTATTTGGCCCATAAAGTATCCCGCAAATAACGAAGAAAGAGAAATACTCAATGAATACATTTTAACCGATGATGAAGACGATGAATAGTCTTGTATATAGTTCGATATAATAATTGCATGGTGGTTTATAGAGTATTCAATTCATCCTTCGGCTGCGAAAAAATAAACTTTACAAACTAAAGAAATATTGTAGAGTATGAAAGGTTAACTTAATCATTCCAGTTTATGGCATTATCAAAATGGGCCTTTGTCGGATATTTTAAATGAAACGACTCGATATTTTTAATTAACCAAGCTTTGTTATTTTATTAAATTCTTACAAAATTTCGTCAAATTCTAGAATATATTTAAATGAAACCATTACTTCTCAGAAAAAAACTGATACTCTATTCGACAATATAGGCTAAATAAACAACATAAGTAGGTATTTCTGTAAGAATTGTCTTCAGCTCATGTCACCATTGATGTTGGCTGCAACTGTCAAATCTTGATGAAGGAGCAAACAGGAAAGAATTTGAATTCTCTTCAAATTTAAAAATGAAAAAGATGAACGACTAATATGGCATAATAAACAGGTTTCACAGAATGTCTAATTATGGTAATTTTCAGCCTATGTATCGAGCGAAGCTAGCATATTGTCATTTTTTGCAATGAAGATAATCAGTGTTGCCCTGTGCGCATAGTAAAAATCCAAACACAAATAAATAGATCAAGTTGTACGCTACATTAGGGATTGACTATAGAAAAATACTTAATAATGTATTCCCCTACGCTATTTTCAGATAGCCTCTATAAACTATGGAGACATGATGATGATGGTATAGATTCGTCTGATTTCCATAAAAGGAGTTTTAATATGCATAACGCCAACAATCCAAATTCTAATGGTGCAACTACTACTACTACTAATAACGTAACACAAGAGCAATTGGAAGACCAAAGAAGACATGTTCGACTGTTATTTGCTCCACCATTACTGGCGTATTCGGCGGAATATCCAGGGGCCAGTTTATCACAGTTGGAGTATACCATAAGCAATCAAAGTGGAAATAAGCAGGATTTACCCTTATTGACACCATTAATCCAAAGGAAACTAGATAGATTACAACAGATACGAAACATAGGATACACCAGCATAATACCTGCAGGCGTTGGGAAAACAATGGAGCAGATTGATTTTGAAGAAGCAAGACACTTCAATATGAGTGAACAGCAAGACGAGTCGTATATCCCAACAGCCGAGAATGGCGATGTGCCAGACAGCTCTATCAATGGAGTGCCTAATCAAAGCATTAATGAAGAAGAGGAACCTGAGGTAGACCTAGACGCAAATATTCCGAATGCGGATGATGTTACTAATGATGACGACGACTTTGAAGACGATGAATTTGGAGAAGTACAAGAAGAACAGGATGAAATTGATTTAGATGACCACAGTTTAAATGAAGATGAAGGGTTCATGGCAGAAGAAGTTGAGTACCAAGACGACCATAGTATAGTGACGGACCATATACCGAATATGTTGATAAATACTGGAACGACAGCTACGACAGCTAATACCAACTTGAACTCTGGTAGGAGTATCGCTACAAACCCCACCAGTATAAACAGCACAAGTCCAATAAGCATAGTAAATCCCAATTCGAGCACTTTATATTCTACGGGCCAAGGATATAGGGATGAAAGCGATGAAAATAATCAGAATGATCAGTCTGACTTAGATATGATAATTGATGAACAATAATTAGCTTTATATAACTTAACTAGCGATGGGTAGAATAGCTTTTAATATTATCGATCTTAGCGCATTGCAAATGTAGAGCTGGGATCATCCATTTTCCGCATGAACATCTCGACCCTTTCCAGCTGTATCCTCCAACCTTACTGTCACATTTAGGACAATTGAATTTACCTTCGATCTCACCTTTCTCTTCTAATTCTGATCTCATCCAAATTAACGGCTCTCTTACGAAATAATGAGAACATGAGTCAGAAGCTTCTTGTGCTGAAACGATTCTTCTTGAATTTGGGGCCCTCTTTATGAATTGAGCTTCTCGAGATGACGCATCAGGAGGCAAATGGTTTTCAATTTGGTTCTCGAGTGCCAAAACCTGCCTACACTTTTTGCAACGTAACTCTGCCTGTTTATCTATCTCAGATTGTGGGGCAGTTGTGGATGAAAACATATTCAACTCCTGTAATGAGCGACCAGATGGATCTGCTTGAATATTTAAGTCAATGAAGAGCTGCCTGTACAATGGGCTTGTGGTGTCAACTTTGAATTTCAAGTCAGCAAATAATTGTAATTGTTTCTGGAATCCGTCGTTAGGACATGCTGGTGCAAATTTACGTTTGACAGCGTGTAGTGCTTGGTCTTTTGTTAATTTATACCTGTACATCAAATATGCCACTACGATTGTGACAGATCTGGATACTCCTTGAGCACAGTGGATCAAAATGGCTCCATGATGCTTATCAGTAGTAGTTCCTGGGGGAAATAAACAAGAATCTATGAAATCGTTTGTTTCAGGGAAGTATTGTATTATATTGGTGGTTTGTTCGTCCGTGATGTCGATTTGCTTATGCACATAATCGTGGACATAATTATTTGGAATAGTGCCCGGAATCGCCGAAATTATATGTGTTATATTATATTGATGTTTGAAGTCCACATTGTCATTCAATGGTTCGATAGAGGATAGGTAGATGCCCCCTAGTATACGGTAAATCATTATTGGTGGATAAGAATATTTAGTATTTCATCGCAAAAAAATTTGTGCTGCGTAGATCGATGAGTTGGCTACAGGCGAAATATTGCAACTGTCAACAATACGAGTCGTTGCGCCAATATATGACGACATCGAAACTATAATATAATTCTAAATCATACCTACCACATATCGGAACAACAAAACATGTTTGGTGCCAGTTGGAGCGAATTACGTGGCCTTAACTATGCATTTTTTCTATATTAAGTCAACATTATATGTATTAATTTAGCGATCGCGTGCCAATGTGACCTATTCTCATCTACACTCTACAAATACCCTTCTATAACCACTTCAAGTGCCATCACCACTTAAAACATCCTCTTTACCCATCCCCTAGCAACCAAAACAAAACTTGCTGTTCAAATGGCCGCAAAATGCCGTCTCGCGCAGGCTAACACTTAATCCGCATAGACACTCCGTATCCTCGACACGCTTCAAAATACCGTACAACGTACGAAATTCCAATTCCTTTTGTTTGTTGTCCGCACATCCAAGGCCCAACACCACTTCTGCACGTCCAAAACCTAGAAAACCTAGTCTTTCATCGGTTGCTCGAGCATTGATGCCCGATCCACGCTTGCTATGCTTGCTACATTTCTTTATATCTTCGAAATTCTACCCTGACCTCAAAATCCCTCTAAAACATCCTAACTACCCTGCTCGTAATTTACATTGCTCGGCTCGTGCATCCCCCATCTCCCCCCACCACCTGACAGATGAAGTCCCCAGACTTCACTACCGGCTCGCCAGACTTTTTAAGATGTGGCCACACACTACTACTCTATTGTGTATGTCCGTTTCGCAATAGGTTCTCTCTCAACGACCTCCATACCCCGGACTCCTCTTGAACTTACGTGTTCTGTCGTGTCTGTTTTACTCCTATACCCTTCTCGGGTGCTCGTAAGGCCGAATACATTATATTATTATTATCCACTATGCATTTGTCCTGATTCACATACCCGTCACGCATTGTACTACTGCAACAGTGGCCCATTTTCTTGTTCTTGCCGATCGTGGTTGATACCCGGACAATAGAATAATGGCGTTCTGCCTAATTACGTAATTATGGAATCTGGCGTCGGAAGTAGGCTACTGAAAAAGTTTCTCTCCGAAATCTGGGGTCACCGACTCGATTTTTTGGTCACCTGTGGTACAAGCAAAACAGGCAGTTTGGGGCCCCTTTGGAACCCCATATGTCCTACAATCTCAGATATACCTTATCTTGTTTTTATAGAGACATGCGGATAGTACACGGATGTAGTGGTCGATTACTACTTGGATGGAAGGATATATCCGTCCGAGGTTATTTGTTCACGGACCATCGCACCTACACGACCGACGGCCATTGAAAATTAGGTTGCACAAACCGCAGACAACATACGGAACTGAACAATGTGATTGGCTGTTCAGGGCCAATTAAATCAAATCCCCAGGCATATTCGGGTAATCTTTTCTATTATGGTGATGGTGGTGTTTTGTAGTTTTTCGAACATTGTGACCAGTGGAACAGCATTATATAAAAGTCCCGACATACCCTTGAAAAATTGTAAATCCTTTTTTTTCGTATACTCTAACTTATTAGGTTTTATCTTTTATATTTATTGAGATCAATTGACATGTCAGCTATTCGTTCAATTCAACGTACATCTACTTTTGCTAAGCGTGCTCTTGGAGCCCGTACTTACGCTACTTCTGAACCAGTATGTAATTAGAGACTATAATGGAGCGAATGGTTCATATTATGACCCATTTCTTGACTCCATTAGATGCTTCCAGCGAATGATTCGACAAATACTAACTAGTGCAGACTTTAAAAACTCGTTTATCTGAAATTTTACCAGAAAGAGCCGAAGAAGTTAAGCAATTCAAGAAGGAACACGGTAAAACCGTATGTATTATATTTGAACACGGTGAGGTGTTGATGTAGTCTCATTTAAACACTAGATTGACCAGAACGGCACCTGTTGATGGTTTTATCTGCCAACGGCACCTGACGGCATTTTAACTCCGGATAGTGAAAAATCGCGAATTTTCGATACTAACAAATATTTAGGTTATTGGTGAAGTCTTATTAGAACAAGCCTACGGTGGTATGCGTGGTATCAAAGGTTTAGTCTGGGAAGGTTCTGTCTTAGACCCAATCGAAGGGATTAGATTCAGAGGTAGAACTATTCCAGATATCCAAGAACAATTACCAAAGGCCCCAGGTGGATCTGAACCATTACCAGAAGCTTTATTCTGGTTATTGTTAACTGGTGAAGTCCCATCTGTTGCTCAAACCAAGGCTTTCTCCGAAGAATTAGCCGCTAGATCCGCTTTACCAAAGCATGTCGAAGAATTAATCGACAGATCTCCATCCCACTTGCACCCAATGGCTCAATTCTCCATTGCCGTCACTGCTTTAGAATCCGAATCCCAATTCGCTAAGGCTTACGCTAAGGGTGTCAACAAGAATGAATACTGGGACTACACTTACGAAGACTCTATTGAATTATTAGCCAAGTTACCAAACATTGCTGCTAGAATTTACAGAAACGTTTTCCACGATGGTAGATTGGGTGCCGTCGACTCTAGCTTAGATTACTCCGCTAACTTAGCTAACTTGTTAGGTTTCGGTGAAAACAAGGAATTCCTTGAATTAATGAGATTATACTTGACCATCCACTCCGATCACGAAGGTGGTAATGTTTCTGCTCACACCACCCACTTAGTCGGTTCCGCTTTATCTTCTCCATTCTTATCCTTAGCTGCTGGTTTGAACGGTTTAGCTGGTCCATTACACGGTAGAGCCAACCAAGAAGTCTTAGAATGGTTATTCAAGATGAGAGGTGAATTACACGGTGACTACTCTAAGGAGAACATCGAAAAATACTTGTGGGAAACTCTTAACGCTGGCCGTGTTGTTCCAGGTTACGGTCACGCTGTTTTAAGAAAGACCGATCCTCGTTACACTGCTCAAAGAGAATTCGCTTTGAAGCACATGCCAGACTACGAATTATTCCAATTGGTCTCCAACGTTTACGAAGTCGCTCCAGGTGTCTTGACCAAGCACGGTAAGACCAAGAACCCATGGCCAAATGTGGATTCTCACTCCGGTGTCTTGTTACAATACTACGGTTTGACTGAAGAATCCTTCTACACTGTCTTATTCGGTGTTTCTAGAGCCTTCGGTGTCTTACCACAATTGATCTTAGACCGTGGTCTTGGATTACCAATTGAAAGACCAAAGTCTTTCTCCACCGAAAAGTACATGGAATTAGTCAAGAACATTAAGGCTTAAGTCTGATGGTTTTTATCTTCTAACTTCCATTGCCTATTTATTGTAATTTTTCCCATAAAGAAATGTTATTTATTAAAACTATTTGTTATTTATTTATGTATAGTTCTTCTGTATGTAACGAATTGATGATTTTTATATATCTTTTTTAATTTGTATTGTAGAGACTTGAAGTATTGATTTGATTTTGTACCTTTCTCGAGAATATAATTTTTCAGATTTATTTCTACTACACCTCAATCAGTCTGTAGGGCAAGGATGCTTAGACATATTAGACGCCTCTCCATAACGAGGGTAAATGCTAAGACACTGTACAGTAATACCTTACAGCTTCCTAAAACAGAATTTGGACCTAAGGTGCCATCTGGGCCTTCAAAAGATGAATTAATTAAGCTTGTTTCTGAAGACCTTTATAGTTGGCAGTTAAATAGAGAGAACTATAACGACCGATGGATATTTCATGACGGACCCCCATATGCCAACGGAGATTTACATTTAGGCCATGCATTAAATAAGATATTGAAGGATATTATAAATCGTTTCGAATTAATCCGGAATAATAATAAAGTCATATATCAACCTGGGTGGGATTGTCATGGATTACCTATTGAAATGAAGGCAATATCTAATTCAGAGAAGGCTAGTGAACTCCAACCTACAGAGATCAGATCCTTATGTCGTAGTTTGGCAATGTCAATGATCGACAAACAACGAGAACAATTTAGAGAGTTTGGTATAATGACTGATTTCAACAACCCGTATATTACGTTGTCAAATGATTATGAAATTAAACAGCTACAGGTGTTTTTGAAGCTCATGGAAAATGGTCTTTTATCCAGACAATTGAAGCCTGTTTGGTGGGGGTGTGAAACTCAAACTGCGTTAGCAGAAGCCGAGTTAGAGTATAATAATGCCCATAATTCTGTGGCTACGTATGTCAAATTTCCTCTAGCTTCTTCAAAGTTTTACAAACTATTGAATGAAAAGTATCCTTTCATAGAGGTGAGCAAATATGATGTCCAATTATTAATATGGACGTCTACTGCTTGGACAATTCCTGCAAACCAGGCAATTTGCATACATCGAGACCTAAACTATACGCTCATCTATAATGATGTGACAAATGAACATCTAATTGTTGCCGAATCTTTAGCAGATGAATTATGCAAGCTCAATGAATCATATAAGCGATATTCTGAACCACTTTGCTTTAAAGGTGATGAATTATTAAATCTTGAGTATATAAATCCGGCAGTTGGTGCAGAATATTTCTTTCCTATTTTACATGGCGACCATGTTTCCGCAACTGCGGGTTCCGGGCTTGTTCACACTGCACCAGCACATGGCGGTGAAGATTACTTGATAGGATGCAGACATAATTTGAAAATTATGTCATCAGTCAATGGCCAAGGTATGTTTATTGTAGACAATATTCCTGATGGATTTTCTTCCTTAAAGGGTGAATATGCCAATAAGAAGGAAGGTTTATGGAAATGTATTGACATTATGAAAGAGCATAACATGATATTCCACATTAATAAAAAGTACAAGCATTCATACCCTTACGATTGGAGATCAAATAAACCAGTCATTCAAAGGGCAACACCTCAATGGTTTGTAAATGTTGAGAAAATTAAACCAACTGCTATTGAAGCACTTGAAAGTGTACAGTTTTTACCAGAGAATGGTAAGAATAGACTAAAGCTGTTCATAAATAATAGAAACGAATGGTGTATATCAAGACAGAGAACATGGGGTGTTCCATTACCAATAATATATCATAAAGAAAGTGGCGAACCTATTGACGATATTGAAGTTATACGGTTTACGATAAAATGTATGACTAAGTTTGGTACTGATAGTTGGTTTACTAAAGAAGACGATATTTGCAGATGGTTACCGGAGTCATACAAGGATGTGGGAAAACGATACGTTAAAGGACAAGACACCATGGATGTCTGGTTTGATTCTGGTACATCATGGTCAACATTAGGTGATAATATGGAAGAATTATCGAGAAGTGATACACCTTTAGCTGATATTTATCTTGAAGGTAGTGACCAACATAGAGGCTGGTTTCAGTCTTCATTATTGAATAAAATTATTGCATCTGGAGTAAATGGTGAAAATTTTAAACCCGTTGCTCCCTTCAAGAAGATTGTTACACATGGCTTTACTTTGGATAGTAAGAATGATAAGATGTCTAAATCCAAGGGTAACGTTATTTCACCAAAGCATGCAATAAACGGAGGTGGAAAACCGTTCCTTCCAAGTTTAGGGACCGATGGATTGAGATTATGGGTTGCCTCGTCCAATTTTACTCAGGATGTCAATGTTAGCGGTGAAATTCTCACAAGAGTATTCGAAAACGTTAAAAAATTAAGAGTTACCTTGAAATATATGTTAGGAAATTTAAATGATTTTGAGGAGAATAAAAAGGTTAGTTATAATGATTTAAATCCTTTGGATAAGTTAGTCTTATCGAAGCTCGTCAGGTTACAGCAAACTTGCGTGGAGTATTATAAAGACCACAATTTTTCAAGAGTTGTTAAAGATATTAGCACACATATGAGTGTGGACTTGAGTGCCCAATACTTTGACATTTCAAAGGATTGTCTTTACACGGACGCGAAAGACTCTAAAAGAAGAAGAAGTATCCAAACAGTGTTACAAGCATTATTGAAAACTTATATTGGGTTGCTTGCACCTATACAACCATTATTAGTTCAGGAAGTATGGAACGTATGTCCAGAATATTTTAAAAATAATAGCAAATCGCCATTTACGGTGGGTAGTTGGGACTTTTATCAAATACCTGATACCTATTTACAAGAATCAATCGAACAAGATTTTTCTAAGATATGGCAAGTTAAGGACACCCTTTACAAGTCTTTGGAAGAACTCCGTTTAAATGGTACGTTCAAGAACAAATTGGAGACTCAGGTTAATATTGTCGTCGATAAAGAATCTTCGATAGGAAAATTATTGACTTCACATCAGGTTTTTTTAGACGATTACTTTCTTGTTTCTAAGGCTTATGTTAACGGAGAACCACTTAAGGATGCATCCTATTTTAGTGAAACATCATTGGCTATAGATGAACAAGAGGTCAAGATACAAATAGCCCCGTCCTCTAATGCTAAATGTCCAAGATGCTGGAAGTTTGTGTCTGAATCCGAAGACACATTATGTACAAAATGTGATTCCGTAGTTCATAAACACTAGAATGTAAATAGAAGACGCTAAACATGTATATATAAGTGTCAATTAAAGAGGTAAATTCTACAATAGATGAGATTTTATACCATAAAAATAACATGTTATTGTTATTCTGTAGATTTGTTTATCAATGAGAAATAATGTTCGCGAATAAAATTCATTTTGTATTTTTTACTCAAAGCGTTTCATATGTTACTAGGTAAGATTGATATTTGCAATTTATTATACGACTTGTATCTGCAATTTATTTATAAAACATATTCAAACCTATCCAGGAGCTAACAAAGAAAATATTTAGCTAACATGGGTAATATGCTAAGAAGGAAAATGTCTAATTACATGGAAATAGTTTCCAACCTAGAAGAGCGTTATGTTTCTATACGCCATATGTTCAAAGACCTAGAAGTCGATGAAGAGGATGAAGAGTATGATTATGACAGAAAACAGTATCTAATAGATTCGTTCGACTTGTTGTTAGAATTTGATAAAATGATGTACAAATACCACGCATTAAAGTCATATTTTGATACAGCGAAGCTCCAACTCACCGAGGAAGAGAGAAATATAATCGAAGAAATGGATAAATTAGGGTTTAAATACGAAAGAGAATTTCCTATACCTGACCTAATTATGGAGTTCCCGGAATTAGCCATAATAAGACGCCAACTACAAGGAAGTGCAAAAGAATGTGGTAAAATTGCCTACCAATATAAACAAAGCGAAACGTACGAGAAGCCATCCAACGATAGATCTAAATCTGTCACTAGTCAGCAGAAAAAAGATACTTAATTTTTAAGTTCCTGGGGAATGCAAATGAAAATTATAAAGATATAGGGAACGTCATACTTGGATTTCAGTTGGGCTTGAAGAGAACGTGTTACTGCCAAATGGTAAATATACATTCAGCGGTTTGTAAATAGAGAGCTACATTTATTGATATAATACTGTGGATAAAATGAACAACTGAATAAATACCGGCAAAGTCTTGCACACAGAATATATATTCCAATCAGTGAAAAAGACATCTATGTATGCGGTGATACTAGCATACATAGTATACATCAATATCGTAAATACCGAAATTATATGGAACTATCAAAGAAGTTTTATATTACATAGCTGATACACGTATATATTGGTATGTAATTGTGTATAATATACAATTTAAAATGAATATGAAATATGCTTATCTTTTACCACTCATCAATTGTGTTAATAATTGTGAGCTTGAAGATTGATTTCCAGCAGCTGGTTGTTGTGCATATTGCTGTCCTTGCGGTTGTTGTTGAGGTTGTGCTGGCATTTGAGGTGGGTTAGGTGTATTCTTGGAGCCATTAGCGGCGGCGAATAACCCAGGTGGTGGAGGTGTAGAAGTGTTAGCTGAGCGTTCACGAGCTCTTATCATATTAATTTGAGCTTGAGCTTGAGATGGAGTGTGATGTTGTTGTTGTTGCTGTTGCTGTTGTTGCTGTTGTTGCTGTTGTTGCTGTTGTAACTGTTGTAACAACAATAATTGTTGTTGTTGCTGCAACGTAGCATTACTTGACACAGGTGTACCATTTCCAGTTTGTTGGGATTGTTGTTCTAATAATCGTTTTTGTTGTTCTATTTGTAATTGTTGTATTTGAGCAGCTTGTATACTAGGCGTTTGTTGACGTTGTTGCTGTAATTGAGCCTGCTGTTGTAATAATGTTTGTTGTTGTGTAATTGGATGATTTTGGTAAGCCAAGTGGTAGTTTTTAATAGGTTTCAAGATAAACCTTTCAATAACTTGACGAGCAATCAACTTCTCCTCTTCGAGATTACTATTATTAGATAATTTTGTGCTTTTATTGAAGGCAAATAATGGTAACACTTTATTATCAGCATTTTCTGTTAATTTCTTGAAATGAACCTGCAATTTTTCTCTTCTTTCAGACAAGTTTCTTAACATTTCTGAAGTTTCTTCCATGAAGTGAATAGCCGAATCATTATCGATATCAATATCATCAGGAAGTAAGATGCTATTATCCTTCGAAGACCTTCCAACTTTGCCCTTATTATTCTTGGTTTCTTTTCTTTGTTGCTGCTTTTGATCACGGAAGATCTCGCCTAAGGTTGGGAAAGCTGCAGCATTGGCTAAAGCAGTACTATTAACAGAAGGAGAACCACTTGCCGAGCTCAGACCCTTAGCCCAATGAGCAGTAGCAGGTAAAACAGCCCCATTTGAAGAAGACGCGGAGTTTGGCATTGGATTAGGACTCGACGTGTGGTGATCACTGTCATCATCGGAACCATCGTTATCTTCTTCAGCACTATTAGTATGTTGTGAGTTATTACTTGACGTATTTTGATTATTAAACCCAGCATTTGTAATATTAGTATTGCTTCCAACCCTTGAGCCAGATAAACCCATCATACCCATCTTAATACCTTGCTGAGTAGACAAGTCTTTTCTAGTGTAGGAATCTGCTTCTTCACCAGGCTCATGCAAAAACATACAGTTTGGATTTGGACACGGATGGCCCCGCAAATATGAGGAACAGTATTTGGTAGTACCATGCGCCGCTCTTAAAACTCTACCATCACATAATGAACCATCCAACTCATTAATACACTTCAACGCGTCTTCCTTCTTAACAAAGGTCACATATACAACCAAGCCAGGATTTTGGTGATGATGGTGAGCACTCTGTGGATTAGGAGTCTTTTTATTGATAACAATCTTCAGAATTTTACCGTATTGACCAAAGTATTTGTCAGATCTCAACACTGAATGCAAATCATCAGGATTACAAGGCGGATTCAACCCTGTCACATACACCAAGTTTTTCTGCACCACTCTCAATCCAGCCAAATGCTTCTTATTAGCCATTTCTGTTTCCTTCTTCTCTTTTTCTCTTTGCTTCTTCTCTCTTTCACGTTTTTCTCTCTTTAATTGTTGCATTCTATATTCGTCTGACGTGATTGTCTTGTACTCGACACTATCGTCATCATATAATCTTCTACATCCCGGACATCTCCCATTCAATTCTGGGTTTTGTCTAATGTTATTGTAACAAAATTGACAGATTTGGTACCCGCAAGGGCATGGTTTGAAATTTTTATCTGAGATATCCATTTCTTCCACGCATAACGGGCAAAATTCTTCTTCTTCGTCGCTAATAAAGCTGTCGTCACTAGGAACCATCATTGATTGATTATTTAAAATTATTGATTAATTAACTACTGGCATTGAACTGTAACACTAGTGGCGTTAATTTTTCTTTAATTTAGTCGAACTTTTTTCGGATCTCGCACACTTTGATTTTTCAGTGTATACTCTTTAGTATTGGTTACGATTTGGAGAGATTGATATATAGAAAGCTGAAATGTCGTTCTTTATTGAATTATGGGAGTCTGTATTCACTCCTGGTACTACACCAGCTTTGATCAAAGCTACACATGCATCGTTCATTATGTTAATCGTTTCGCTATTGTCCTTAATATATCTTACTAGGTCTATTCATTTCATCAATTTACTTGTGATAGCGCTTATGCTTTATGGGTCAGTCATATGGTTTATTAACGAGCTCAATCAGTCTAAGTTGAAGGACAATTCAACGTTGGAAAAGGAGGATGGGTCTGTCGAGACAGAAGGTGCCAAGGATGTGACTGTTAACGGACCGGTAGCAGCTAAGTCGACCGGTGCTTCTAAAGATTTTTCAAAGCCAATTCCAGTCAAAAAGAGGAAAGCTTGAAGTGTATATATTATAAAGTGAACTTAGATATCTTGTATACTCAGTAATGAATAATAATAATAATAGTAGTAGTAGTAGTAGTAGTAGTAGTAGTAGTAGTAGTAGTAGTAGTAGTAGTAGTAATAATAACGTTTTCGTTAAGACATGTATTTGTGGAAAATCACTATAAAATCCACGTAGTCGATATCTAAGATGCGATGAATAGGTTATCTAATTACCGATTAGGCTGTTTTGGAGTTGATAATGGAAATCTACAAAACTTAATATTTAAGTACTTGCAAAATGAGATTTAGGAATGTGTTTCAAAAATATGACGATCCAGATACATGCAAGGATGAAAATATCCTGATCAGTAAAGAAGCATTCCCATTGGCCTCATAATTCCAAAGTTGCCTAAAAAAACACATTCACCCATTGCTTGTATTAAATGATTCGCAATTTTACAATATGATCGAAGAGTATGCGAAGAAGACGAAGCGACTTTCATTCGATTCCATCCCTCAACAATTTATATATACACGTCACCACACAGGACTTCTATTCGACTCGTTTAAAGTACAAGAAACATTACAATTCGTTCCTACCCAGGGTTTTTTTTGAAGCCGCAGGCTGGTTTAGTTAGGTCTGGTTATGGCCCTGTAGTGCCAGAAACCAAAATCTATATCGGCCCGTCAAGAAATGGATTCTCCGAAGCTACATCCAAATCGCCTTTGAAATGCACATATTGTGGGGCTATCCTGGCCAACAGGTTCGTACATTCGAGGAAGCATTTGCTGGAGGAATTTGTAGAACAATTTGTTGTTAATATAACAAATTGATTTCGATTCGTGTATTGCAGTGGTGGTTCGTTCATAGCATACGAGACTCACAGAACTAGAAGTAGAACGTTATTACTTGATGATCACCGCCGATTATATCTGTTAACTTCTAAACGGATATATGTGTAGTTGATGCCGTATTCCTGCAACTGCTTTGATGCAGCTCTTTTAAATGATAAAAGCAGCTTATTCTTTCGGCTGAAATCTGAACTCGCAGATCCTTTCTTATTTTTCCCTTCAAATGCCTAATCATCGGCTTAAGTTAGTGGCTATTCGGGGGTATTTTCCGCAGACTTGCATTTTTTTGTTCGCCATGCAGAATATATCGGGGTGATATGGTGGGGTGCATTGAAGATGAATACCGAGAAGAGACGCAACCGCAAAAGGATTAACATCATGGTGTGGCCCAATAGATGGGCTTGAGAATCGAGTTCTTTTGTTGGGTGAGCCGTATAAATAGAGAAAGGATTCCCATGTAGAAGCTCCATTTGTTTGATCAAACCGTACAAGATGAGCCTTTTAGAAAAACTGTCTGATGGGTCGGTTAATGACAATGAAGTTAAGATTGATGACTTCCACAAGATAGACTCCTTCGAATTAGGTGAAAACTTTAATTATGATAAGGAATTCGAAGTGCTAGAGCAAATGGCTCTCGAAAGTAAGGCCAATAAGACTTTGGTTCAAAAGTTGATGACTTTTGAATTTGAATTGCATTTGAAGAATAAGAAGCATATGATTTATTTACTAGGAACTTTCAGTGCTGCTGCTGGGTTGTTGTCTGGTGTTGATCAGTCAATCATCTCAGGTGCCAGCATTGGAATGAAAGATGACTTACACTTGGAACCTGACCAAGCATCGCTTGTTTCTAGTTTGATGCCTTTAGGTGCCATGTTGGGAAGTATTATTATGACCCCGTTAAACGAATATTTTGGTAGGAAACTTTCGATTATTATATCATGTATTTGGTATACTCTTGGAGCAGGTTTGTGTGCTGGATCGCATACATACGGTATGATGTACGCCGGTAGATTTTTGCTTGGTATCGGTGTGGGTATTGAAGGTGGTTGTGTGGGTATTTATATCTCGGAGTCTGTTCCTGCTGAAGTCCGTGGTAACCTTGTTTCGTTATATCAATTTAATATTGCCCTTGGGGAAGTGTTGGGATATGCAATTGCCGCCATTTTTTACGAAGTGCATGGAGGTTGGAGATATATGGTAGGTTCTTCCTTGGTCTTTTCAACAGCCTTGTTGGTCGGTATGCTCTTCTTACCTGAATCTCCTCGTTATTTGATCCATAAAAACAGAATCGGTGAAGCTTATGACGTGTGGAAAAGGTTGAGAGATATCAATGAACGAAAAAGTAAACTTGAATTCTTAGATATGAGACAAGCCGCTTACCAAGAACAAGAAGCAAAGGTAACTGAAAGCAAGACAAGGTTATGGACAGATTTATTCAGAATCCCAAGAAATCGTCGTGCCTTAGTTTATGCTGTTATCATGGTTGGATTAGGTCAGTTGACAGGGATTAATGCCGTCATGTATTATATGTCTACTTTGATGAAACAGATTGGTTTCGACACCAAAAATTCTGTTTTCATGTCTTTAGTTGGCGGTGGCTCCTTGCTACTCGGAGGTATTCCAGCTATCTTATGGATGGATAGATTTGGTCGTCGTGTATGGGCCTTGAACATTGTTGGTTTCTTCATTGGTTTAGTGTTTGTTGGTGTTGGCTACTTGCTACCACTCGACACTCCTACTCATTTGATGGCAGCAGAAGGGGTATATTTGACTGGTATCATCCTTTATATGGGGTTCTTTGGATCTTATGCCTGTTTAACATGGGTCTTGCCATCTGAATCATTCGATTTGAGAACCAGATCTATCGGTATGAGTATTTGTTCAACGTTCTTATACTTATGGTCATTTATTGTTACATTTAACTTCGACAGAATGCAAAATGCTATGACTTATACAGGCCTAACTTTAGGTTTCTATGGTGGCATTGCATTCCTTGGGTTTTTCTACCAAATCTTTTTTATGCCAGAAACCAAGGACAAAACATTAGAAGAAATTGATGACATTTTTTCTAAACCTACCAAAGTTATTGTGAAAGAAAACATTATGGGTATGAAGAAATTCTGGGGTATGAGCTAGACACTTGGTTTGTATTTTACTTCTTTAATATTTATTGATACTATAATTAGATGAAAATTACTAGTATTCTTCAATTGTAGATTAATAATAATAATATTATTAACATTAAAATATGTATTTCTGGAAAATCAATAGCAAAACCGTGTGGTTGATATCTATGATGTGGTGAATGCTTTATCTGGTCCAGCTGAAATCGATAATTTATCGATCAGGCTGCTCTGGTGTTGATTATGAAAATCGCACAAGAACAAACTTCATTTAATATTTAATTGCTAGCAAAATGAGTTTTAGACATGTGTTTCAAAAGTATATAGACAATCCTGATACGTGTCTGGAGCTACTATTATACAAGGATGAAAATGTTTTGATTATTAAAGATGCATTCCCCAAAGCTTTGAGACATTATCTCATAATTCCAAAATCGGCTGATAAAACTCATGTTCATCCATTGCTTGTGTTCCAAAATGATCCGCAATTTTACAGTATGATCGAAGAGTATGTGAAGAAGACGAAGCGACTTATCATGGATGATTTGTTTGCTGCAGGTCTATTGAAATTTGATGAGGCTGATAATTTGGCGACCCAGGAATTTATGAATCGCTTCATTAAAGCCGGAGTTCATTCAATTCCATCCCTCAACAATTTACATATACACGTCATCACACAGGACTTCCATTCGTCTCGTTTAAAGCACAAGAAGCATTACAACTCGTTCACCACCCAGTTTTTTGTGGAGTTCTCCCGTTTGGAGCCTTCGCAGATTGATATGGGGGACGAGTTGGGGTATGGATACGATTCGTCATCTAGTCAAACTACTGATGATGAACTAGATCCAACCCAACTTGTATCGACACCCCACGAAATGGATCCTGTGAAGCTACAAAATGTCATCTCCAAATCGCCTTTAAAGTGTACCTATTGCGGGGCGACTTTTGCAAACAGGTTCGTACATTTGAAGAAACATTTGCAGGAAGAATTTGTAAAAAAATTTATTGTTACTTCAACTAATTAAAATAATTTTGACTCGTGTATCGTAGTGACCGGTCTTTAGGACCAACTCCTCGTTAAGTACGAGATCGTACGAACTTCGTAAACTTAGAAAAATTATTACATAATTTAACAATTGGAATTGTCTATTCGTGTTTTGTCGGATTTTTATTACGGGTTTATTTAATTGTCAGGATTAACTTAACAAATTTTTTTGGGCACTATTTTGTCCGTCCTGCAGTAAACAATAAAATAAGTTTTAGCCTGTGTCAACAATTTGGATTCCGGATGCCTAGAAGTTCCGTATTTGCTATTATTCACCAAATACTTTACAATTTGACCCACAATGCTTATCTGACAAGAAAATAATCCGGCGTGAACGTATAATTGGCTCATCCCGGAATAATATTTAACCCGCTGATTTCGGTCGGACGCATGATGATGCGCACTTATAGTGGGGGAAAATAGTTTTTCCTTTTTGATTGGCTTACGGCTCTTGAGAAATAGAAAAAATGTTTGCATAAAGAAATTTTAGCGTGCAAGTTATTGTTTGACGTGCATAAAAATTCAAATGAGTGGAGAAATTACTGGAGTGCGTTAGAATCAAATACCAAAAAAGAAATGCATACTGCACAAGCTAAGGATTAATATCATGAAATTGTACAATAGGTGGACTTTACAAGTGTGCTTTGTTGGACTTATGGAGCAAGAGACAGTATATAAATAGTGAGGAGGTTCCCTTGTATTCGAATTATATTAATTAACAGTAAGATGAGTCTTTTAGAAAAACTGTCCGAAGGATTTGAGTCCATAAGTGACAAAGAGGTACATATTGATGACTACAAGAAGGTAGAAGCCGCCGAACTAGGTGAAAACTTTAACTATGACAAGGAGTTCGAAGAGTTGGAGCAAATGGCTATCGAAGCCAAAGCCAATAAGACGTTAACCCAGAAATTGATGTCATTGGAATATGAATTGCATTTCAAGAACAAGAAACACATGGTCTATTTATTAGGTGGTTTTAGTGCTGCTGCTGGATTATTATCGGGTGTAGATCAGTCCATTATTTCAGGAGCAAGAATTGGTATGACACCAGTATTGGGTTTGACTCCTACACAAGATTCGCTTGTTTCGAGTTTGATGCCTTTAGGGGCCATGTTGGGTAGTATTATGATGACACCATTAAATGAATTTTTCGGTAGAAAGATGTCTATTATTATTTCTTGTCTTTGGTATACAGTTGGTGCTGGATTATGTGCTGGATCACATACATACGGTATGATGTACGCAGGGAGATTCTTACTTGGTATCGGAGTCGGTATTGAAGGTGGTTGTGTAGGTATTTACATTTCAGAATCTGTCCCCGCTACGGTTCGTGGGAATCTTGTTTCGTTATATCAATTTAATATTGCGCTTGGTGAAGTTCTAGGATATGCTATTTCCGCTATTTTCTATGAAGTACACGGTGGTTGGAGATTCATGCTTGGATCATCATTAGTATTCTCTACTGCCTTATTAGTGGGTATGTTTTTCTTACCAGAATCTCCTCGTTATTTAGTTCACAAGAATAGAATCGGTGAAGCATATGACGTGTGGAAGAGATTAAGAGATATCAATCTTCAAGAGAATAAATTAGAATTCTTAGATATGAGACAAGCCGCTTACCAAGAACAAGAAGCAAAGGCAACTGAAAGCAAGGCAAGGTTATGGACAGATTTATTCAGAATTCCAAGAAATCGTCGTGCCTTAGTTTATGCTGTTATCATGGTTGGATTAGGTCAATTGACGGGGGTTAACGCTGTCATGTATTATATGTCTACTTTGATGGGAGAGATTGGTTTCAACACGAAAAACTCTGTTTTCATGTCTTTAGTTGGTGGTGGCTCCTTGTTGATCGGTGCCATTCCGGCTATTTTATGGATGGACAGATTTGGTCGTCGTGTATGGGGCTTGAATATTATTGGTTTCTTCATTGGTTTGGTGTTTGTTGGTGTTGGCTACACGATTCCATACGAAACTAAACCAGAAGCAGCAATGGGGGTCTATTTGACTGGTATTATCCTTTATATGGGGTTCTTTGGATCCTATGCTTGTTTAACATGGGTCTTGCCATCTGAATCATTCGATTTGAGAACAAGATCTCTTGGTATGACAATATGTTCCACCTTTTTATATTTATGGTCGTTTATTGTTACATTTAATTTCGATGGAATGCAAAGGGCAATGTCTTATCCCGGTTTAACCTTAGGTTTCTATGGTGGTATTGCATTCCTTGGGTTTTTCTACCAAATCTTTTTCATGCCAGAAACCAAGGACAAGACATTAGAAGAAATTGATGATATTTTTTCAAAGCCTACCAGAGTTATCGTGAAAGAAAACGTTATGGGTATGAAGAAATTCTGGGGTATGAGTTAGATATGTTTTACACTGTATTTAAGTATTATAATGCATAAAAATTTATTTTTAATCTTCATTCGTAGAGTAAAGTTAGATATATCTACGAGAAGATTAGTTATGTTTTAATAAGCTTGTTAATAGACTAACCCTATAAATTATCTCGATTCCGGGTAATCAGTGGTGATTTTTTTTCCTTCCTCAAAAAAGCTAGTAGAAAAAATTGGTAAGAAATTATAGATTCTCTTCTTTCCATTGATCTAAACATATACACCATAATAAACAATATTACATATATTTGTCTTAGCTTTGTAGATTTGCGAATAATTGCCTGGGACTTTATCTCCATATATATGACATGAATAGATATATGTGGTAAACGAATCCCGAACAAAGAAATTCGAGATGGATTTTTCTTAATTGAAAATTCTTCTTGAATTGAAGTATCTGCAGAAGAATCATTACAAATTTTCTACGTGATGATTATCTTTTGATGATATTTTACAAAATTTTTTCAACGAATGTTTTTGATATTTATTAAATTTAGAGTTAAATGCTAATGTAGAATTACTGAATGAAATGTTTCATCTTAGATCCAACTGATCCGTAACTATCAGGGACCTTCTTATGTGGGTTTGGGATAACGCATCTGGATGAAAAGTCACAATAATTACATTTTGATAGGTCTTGAACAGGAACAGGAGGCCGGGAACCGTTCCAGAATTCGGTGGCTCTCGCAGCAACTTCATCTATCTCATTTGCATTATAAGTGTAGTAGTTAGTATGAAAACATTGATCATTCTTAACATTATGATATTCGATAGACAATGAATCGCTCAAAAAAGGTTTACACAAATGAAACAATTGGGAGGATCTTGCAGCAAAGTATCTTAAAGTCAAAGGTATTTTCCAAGTTTTCAATATGTCAGAAGTTAAGATTTCATCAAAATCGAAGCCATCTTTGTCCGATGCTTTTATTTGTGATATATATTCTTCCGTATTTGTTCCTTCGAATACTTTAGTGAAGTCATAGTCAGACTCTTGATTTAAATATCTCTCTCGAGAAAATCTATCGAAAGACTCAAAACCGATAGCTTCTCCGTTAGCTAATTTAACATAATCTTTAAAAATAATGGTATTATTTACTTTCAATAGTGCTAAGGCAGCTTTTATGGAAATTGGTCTATCAACATCCAAGTTTCTCCTCTTAGCGTTTTCAAGTAGCATTTCATAACCAATCTCCATGTCATCGAATTCTCCCGCCAATATCCCAAACATATTTCTATAATATTCCACTTGTAATTTTGCTGCTTGGAGGACAGAGTCTTGTTGTGGGAGCTTATTCCAAGATCTTGTTTTCACATCAGTTATAGTTATCTTATAAGTATCAGAGTATTCTTTAATAATCGGGTCTACATCTTTAAGGAACTGAGATAAATCAATCCATTTGTGTTTTCTCTGAGACAGATTTGTGAATTCTACGTGATCTTGTATATCCTCGAACATAGAATAATCAGTTTTATCATGTGGATTGAGCAATTTTAAGTAGTCCACAACACCGCTTACTAAAACAAGATTCAGTTGATTCAGTTGGAAATCGTGTAGGTTAGATGTGAAATGTGAGGTTTGAAAATCTAGGTATCCATGCACTAAGACTTCTCTTGCTTCTGAAGTGTTGATAAGAGTGAATAATCGACTAATTATCTTACTCATCCATTCATTAGCCATTGATGATTCAGGCATAGCTCCATGTAATAGTTCGCTAAGCTTTGATAAATCTTGCTTAGCTGAAAATATATCATCAGGATCTGTTAGCGTATTTATATGTCTTTTGGAGCTATCAATCTTCTTCTGCACAAATGTATCGGTGATCTTTTCAATATCGTCCACATCTATCAATTTGTGTGTTTCCAATTCGAGCTTGAGATGTGCTTCAGTTCCTAGTTTCATTTCTTTAGTTTCTTCTTTTACAGGAGACCCTGAAAAGACCGTATAAAACTCTCTTAATTCACACCATTGAAATGTAAGTAGCTTCGTAACTGACAACCTTGGTATACTCACATAAGAGGCATCACTATTATATTTCGAGTGATATTCAAATGGAGTTTCTTTTATATATCCAGGCTTTGCTAATGGTAAAGATTCTCCCTCGTCGATATGAAAAGTGGTTAATAGATTCCTCATCTTTGACAAATTAGGTTTTTGATATGTATCGAAAACCTTAGCGCCTGAGCTTAATGGTAATATAAATTTATCAATAATAGATTCTTCATTTGCATCAGTATATTGTATAACTCTTAGTTTCTCGTTTAAGGTGAAATAGGGCTTGTCATTGGAATCACTACTATTAGGTAGCTTCAAAACATATTTTTTTGTATTGATTTCTGACCTTTTAAATGTTGCCGAATTCGAAAGCGATCTTTTAGAGTAGTTCCATACAAGAACTTTACCTGGTCTTATCATTATATCATGATTAATTATACAAACAAATCAGGTTCATGATGTTTCCTTATTACATATAAAATCATCTTACGCGTGCGAAATTCTAGATAGAATATAAAATGTCTACGATTAATAGAATAAATGTTCTGTATTAACTATCTAATGTATACCTCTTTTTAACTTGAGCGAATCTCGTTTCTTTTCACTCAACCCAAATTGACTTGGTACATTAATCGAATCTTTCTTCGTATTAGAAGAAATTGCCGAGTTTGAAGAGGTATCACTGTCTTTATTTAAATCTACAGATGTATTTGGGAAGCCGTTACCTTGACTAAAATATCCAAATTCCTCTGAAGGGGTTGTAGCTGACATAAATGGCGAGTCTAAGGTATCTCCATCACAACCATTTAAAGAATTTAAAGCTTGGAAGTTAGCATTGTCAGTATTTATAGTCAAGGGTCCTGGGAACGAATTACCACTACGTGACGAGGATCTTGACCTCGAATCAGAAAAGTTGAAGTAGTCTAGTTCGTTTGAATTGCCTCCATTGTTGTTGTGGACAATCTGAATATTTTGATTTGGAATGGAGGTCGAGCCAGTAGATATGGTCGAACCACTAGAAACAGAACTCTTGTTTGAATTTGGAGGGGTTTGATAGCCCATCATCATGGAATTGAATCCATTATTTGGTGTCGTGGTATTGTTTGATGAGGTTGGTGTATTACTAGCAGATCTGGTAATAAATGATTGTGGTACATAGTCTTGCATAGATTGTAAGGAATCAGAACTCACATTCATCGAGTCGTTTTGCATAGGTGCACTATAGCCATTCTGCTGCCTTATATTGTTGATGTTACCCACATGTAACCAATTACTTCCGTTACAGGAGTTGTTTCTTGTCAACGATTGCTTCCTTAGGTTTAATGAAGATGATCTCGATCTTAACGAGTTATTGTTGCTTGAGCTGTTTCCGCTGTAGTTCGAAATGTTCAAATCTGTTAACGACAAATTCGAAATAGATGTTTGTCTGATATTGTTGTTGTATGGTGCACCATTATTGCTACCGTTGACAGTAATCGATACTGTCGTCGATGTTGGCAACTTATTAACATTAATATCCCTTGAGTTTTGGAATGTGCATAATTCTATTAATCTCTTCCGTATCAACTGCAAGAAAATGGGCTGGTATGCATAATTTTTCAAGTAATCATTCGTAATGATCGATTGCTGATCGAACACCGGGGGATTGTTCGACGCAGTGTGCATTATCAAGTTATTCATGACTTCGTTGGCAACTTTACTCACTAATCCACTAGGAGGTATTGTTCCCAGGAACGGCGTTGTTGTAGGTAATGACAAGATATGAGAATACACCGACATCACCAACTGGTCGAAATTGTTGGTGAAGTTTAACGTGTAGTGTTGTGTTGTCTTCGAACTCCCCAGAGATGGCTCATCAATATCCGTCAAAACATCATCCGATTCATTGTAATTTGGATGGTTATAGATACTTTCTTGTTTTGGCTGTGCCTGGAAATAATTTGCTTGCTGATTGCAATCAATTGGTGTTTTCAATGTTTGGTCCAACGGCGTGAACGGTCCATCTGGAATAATATTGCCCAACGACTTGTTTAACTTCAACGAGAGGTTATGTTTCTTATTGATCATTTTTGGTGTTTTTTCGTTATTAATTTACCAATTATCTGAGATTTCGGTTAATGGGTACTAATTATGGAGTACTAATGATTTTTTCGTGGATTTAAGGCACGGTATGAAAGAAACGTAGATTCTCGATTCAAATGTCCTTTCTAGCGGGTTATTAGTTAATTTTCTTCGAAGCAATAACTGTGAAGTGTTTTATTCAGTCTGAACAGGTAGGAAAAGTGTATTAAGAAACAATATATTGATAGACTCGACTTTATTTAAGCTTTTATTAGGAATCCTTATTCTGCAAAAAAACGCGCTTCTGATAATTCCCGATTGAGTTAAATTTTTTTCACTACTATTTTCCAGAAGCAATATATGATCTAATACTAGATCTATTGTATTATACTTAAGCGACATAAGTAGGGTTGGGATAATGTTGGGTAAATATATGGGGTTAGAGTCAGACCCAATATAGTGTAAGTGATAAACGTAAAATACCTGTCTATTGTAGCATTTTCAGGTTTCAATTGAGCACGCTTGCAGCCGGAAAGAATGGGATCGTGGAAAGAATGGTTCCTGAGTCGGAGTTGCATTGGTTGCTATAAAGGTGCATTATGGCACAAAATTGTAAGTTATTTATATACTATGTAGATCTTATATAGATATGATCTCTCTGGCAATCGCAAGAAGTAGTTTATAATTAAGTGAGCGAGCCCTATTTGGAGAACGTTTTGTGCTATTGTTTTGACACTTTCCTGGCTGAAGTCCGTGTGGTGACTAGAATATATCAAGGCGAGGGATGAAGATGACTCGAGCCAATTGAATGGTTCTCTAATCAAAGCATCAACTTATTATCACCGCCGATTCCGTCATCATTAACGAGAATGCTGTTGTGGTCGGTGTCGTGGTTTTGTTCGTTATCTTGTTCGTGGTCTCGCTCGTGGGTTTCGGGATCTTCGTCCTGCTGGCTATGTTTTTGAAAATAATCGAAGTACAGGTCTAAATCGTCGTCAAGCAAGTTTTTGTCGTACTTGAGGTTATATGGTAACACTTTCAACAAATCAGTAGGCGGTGTGATGGCATTTTCCTCGTCCTGTTCGAGATTGATGAGCACATGGTCGTGCTTATTGACGTTGTTGATATGTTGTAAAATCTGTTGCCTTTTCGACTTCGGTATTGGATGCAACCGTTCGTTATTCTGTAATGAAATTAGTTGTGGCTCCAAGCTTGTGCTCAAATACTTCAAGTCATGCCCAAGCTTTAAATCCTTCTCTGCTAGATAGTCTAACCACGATAATTGGTCTTGCTTCGAAATCTCTTCTTCGTTTTCTTCATTTGGTAGGTCATTTGATAACGTGGATTTGAAGTGATTGTAAAACTCTTGCTTTTCACGTAACTTCCTCTTCTTCTTATCCTGATCAGTCTCCGCAGAATCATCAAGCTTCCGCTTGTCAATTAAGTTTTTAATATACTCTCGAGGTACTTCTGATAGCTTTTGACTCGTGGCAAACGAATCACTGTATTTTAACCAATCAATAAATGAATCCATCGACTTAGTGTTGTATTCTTTATGTACATTCGAATCTTTGTCCCTATGATTATGATGCTTCAGTATATCATATGCGTCTAGGTAGTTTTCAAAACTCGATGGTTTTATAAACCCAATGTCTAGCATTGCTTGTGTTATATCTTGGATTCCAATATCATTGGAATTAACTCTTTGATTGGAAAATTTCAATGTCCTGGATAGTAATAGTTTGAAATATTGTATGTATATATCTGTCAAAATATTCAAAATTGACGGTTTGCATTTGTCAAATCCTGCTGCCTTCAATATCTGCGCTATGGATATCCTTAGCAATGCAAAGTGAAACGATTCATCCATAATTAGCCGTAAAGAAACTTTATATTGCTTGTTGGTTGATATGCTTTTTCATCATCTAAATATATCGCGACATTAAAGCCGACATTTTACAGATACTACATAAAGTAAGGAAGTATGAATAGTTAAGTACAATTTGGTCAGACAAAGTAATACCTTATGTTCTTAGAAAGGTTCCTACACAAGCTGTTAGACAAGCTGTTTGTTTTGTAGAATTTTCATAAGGAGGTAGCTTAAACATATTGCACCAGTTAAATTACAATGTTCGAGAGTCTATGGACGCTGTATATATTCTGATCAGGCAAAACTCTAAGTATAAACGAAACGTGTATTACAAGACAATCCAGGTCAAACTAAGACCAGCTCGTTCTATAATTGAACATTACTACTAAACAACATTTTGACAATTAAATTATTGGTTTTAGGTACGACTTTTATAAACCTTGTTGTAACCTTTCACCAAGTTTCTTTGAAGCAAAAGAAAGGGCATTGAATAAACCTTTTTCGGATAAATCGATCTTATTAGGCAAGTCGTTTGAAAAGTTGGATGACGATGGTGCGTTGGTTACTCTACTCACAATAATAGCTGGATCAATTTCTAAAATGATTCCGTCATCAATCGCTTCATCAATACATAAACTGACTAAATCGTAATGTTCTAAGACAGTGGATTTGTCTAACGTATTGTCCAATAAAATGTTAAGGGCCTCGTTTAAATTGGTGTTTAATGAAAAAAGTAAAGATTCATTTTCGGATAAAGTACCCACCAAAACCAAAATTATATCATTTGTTTGCTTATAAGTGATTAAATGGTTGTCATACAATATGATATCTTGATGGGCCTTATTTATTTTTTCAAAGAGTGACTTTTCAAATTGTAATTGTTGTGCTTGTGTTTGATATTGATTCGCTTCATTTGCATTGTAATATTTGGCATATAAACGTGACCCCTCGTTATCTAGTATTAAACATGCCGAAATAGTATATAAAGATATATTTAATGACATCTTATATCTTGTTGTTATCCTTTGAAGTACCTGCTATTATTCCTACTATTGGAGTAATAAACAGCGTGGTGATTTTTATTGAACAGAGCGCAAATATATACTGCATATAAACAAATATAATATCTACATCCACTATGAAGTTAATATGGTTTTATTAGACTACTTTTTTATATATAGAAGTGAACTAGGCACCAATCAATTTGAATACAAATTCATGAATAGCCTTTTGAATAGGGTTACTTTCATAAAAAATTTCATTTACACCGGCGAGTTGAAAGTCGTTAAATTCTCCCTGAGATGCAATTCTTTTGAAACCAAGAACAAAATTAACTATTAAACCAACAGTTAAACCTAGGCCAACAATCAATGGACCAATTACGTTATCCAAATGCTTGCCTGACCTCTCAACAATAATATCACGTCTACGCATGAAAATGTAGTAACCCCAAGCACCTGAAAACAAGGTTAATGCGAAATAAATGTATGCTAAAAGTTCAGATAATTGGAACGAATTAGATTTGTTTGCAGACGAATAAATAATAAAAGTTAACGAGGACAATAATGTAGTCACATGTAACCATCTATTGAACGTACGTTCATTAGCTAACCAGACCTTTGGTTCAATCTTTAATGGACCAGCATTTTTAATATATGATTCGGGTTTAATGACACCGGCCGGCATTTCAATTTCTTCGTCTTCAGAGTCAACATCAATTAACTTAGCAATATTAAGGGTATGAGGCAATTTAAGCTTTGAGATTAAGTTGGATGGCTCTTCTTCTTCAAAGTCATCAGACGAGTGTCCAAAGTCTCCATCGTTTTGCTGCTCTTCTGCCTGAGTTTCTAAGTTTGATTTAGATTGATCAGATGGCGATAATGGCTCAATATTAGTATTAATAATTGATCCCGAAAAAGATTTTGACCTAGGAGAATATGGGCCACTAGAATTAGATAACATTGTCTTAAATTTAGACATGTTTTCTTCCTCATTCTGTTGCTTTAAAGATTTCCTTCTAGCATCAATGTACGCTTGTTCAGGATCAACCTTAATATCACTTTCCAACTCGTTGTACCATAATGGAATATTGGCAAGCTTGTCGTCTTCTAAGAACAATGATGCAGTACCTTGAATAAATTTTGAAAAGTTTGGAATTTCTTTAACCAAATGAGAACTGACTAAATCATCAATCCAAACTAATCTCTTACGGTTCTTAGAAGTCTTAACCTTAATTTCCATAACTGAATACGGAAATTTAGAAAATTCACCCTTACGCAATAATGAATACGGATTACTGACGTGCGAGTCAATGTCAGTTCTATGCCATTTGGAAGGATCTCTGATTGGTCTTTGTTGGTCAAACGAATCCTCTCTAATAAACATTAAATCAGAATCAATGACAATACGAATTTTATCTTCGCCTGGGATTTGGAATGCAGTTCTCTTATAAACAGTTCTGAGACATGGTTGCAAGTTATTTTCCTTGATAAACGATGATAAATTAGACACGTTATCAGCAAATTTGGTAATTTCTTCAGATTGTTCTCCTTTCTTGATCATTTTATTTACCAATTTATCAGCTGAAAAATTACCAGACATTAACGAGTCAAGATACTTTTCCTTCATGGTTAATTTTTCACCAACATTATAATCTTGCGAAGATGGATCAAAAACCTTCTTTTCAATGCTTATTTTTGGCTTGTCAGACAATTTACCTATCCATTTGAATCTCAAAGAACTCGAGTTGTTGTTTTTGACTAACTTGTTGTTATATAAATCAAAATTTGGATTATCGAAGTACAAACAGTTGATTATAGGATCGTTATTTCCATCCTCCTCATCATCATCTTCCATCAATAAGTCGTCAACACTAGCCGCAGTATTGCCATAAACCAAAACTGGTAAATGACGCAAAATTGTGGTTTTTACTTCCATTAAGTTATCCGGATGCACCCAAAACTTGAATGATTGGTATTCTTCTTGATTGTCATCATTGAAGGAAGATAATTTAGTCAATGTCTCGTTCACATTGTAATTATCTCTTAAAAACTGGAATAATGCCGAAACTTTGTACAATAGCGGCGAGTAGTCTTCACTGTGGAATGGCAAGTTCTTTAAGCGAACATTCAATAAAGGCTTGACCGAAAACTCTGGATGTATTCTATCATGCTTCTTGACTACCTTAATGAATCCAGTATAATTCAATCTCTGGAAATGGTCCAATTCCTGCGCACCTGACAAAGCTTCTTCTAATTTATTGGTGAACTTGTCCAACTCAAACTCATTGGTTGGATTTTCGGTTTCTGCTTGCAATTTATCCAAAACTTCACTCAATTCTTCATATTTGTTAGCCTGGAATGTGTAGACCTTCTCCAAATCAGCATCCAACGAACTGACGAAGTTTTGTTCGTCTGTATCGCTCCAGTTGTTCTGTAAGATCACTCCTTCCTTCAATAGCTTCTTAAGATGCGTATAGTTCATATAATACTGCTTCCATGGTGGATAGACCTCACTATCCAATTTGTTTCCAAACAACATGATACCTGCCAGTAATTTACTTGATATATACTATTGTGTCCGTCTATTCTTTAGCGATTCATATATCTATATATATGTTGAACTATTCACTATGAAGCGTTTTAATTAACCACGTGGTAATGAACGCTGATGGCGATAAGCGTTATTCTATATACAGAACACATTGTATGATTGTTCGTTAAAGCACTGGTTCCAAGAAGAGAGGTAAATACGAATCCTACAACTACCTAATTGGACTGATTTAAGAAGCATGGATACGTACTAAGAACTGAAATGAATACTCGTAGGAGGAGTGCAAAGTGCTGAGATGAAAAAGGATATTTTTCAAGCCGATCGACATCCGATCTTTTTTCACGTATATACTGTAGACTATGAGACGTCAGGCTAACATGTGTGAATTTTGAAAGTTAGAAGACAGTTAAGTTGATTGCAGAGAAAATTGGAAAAGGGCGATACAGAAATATTGTGGGGGTTCTGGGCCTGAGATAATAATCGCACTGAATGAAACTAACGCAAGAATGCTAGAACGATTTGAGCGTATTTAGGTCCAGAACATTATGTAGCTAAAGATGTACGGGTTATGTTACGGTATGGAAAGGTAACAGAGGTGGATAATCCGTTCATGATAATAGAGGGAGGTACCATATGACTGAGTGAAAAAGAATGAAGAGTCGAACCCGGGTTAGTAGCGTGCAATGTTGCAACATATACGTCACAGGGAGTATGTAAATTAATGCGTAGCAGTGCATAGGCCATGTGTAGTTAATGCATTGTCACAGCTTAGATTACCGAGTGGGCACTGAGACTGGCTGTAATTTAGTTGGAAGTTGGGGGATCCTATATTTTGTGACGCACTAAATGTACGTTGTTGAAAAAATTTGACAGTTGTCCCATATAAATGTATGGTGCATAAAGAAATTGCCTTTGACTCGGATTGGATCACAAGCTCTATAATTATGTTGGATACAAATAGCACTATTGGTAACAGAAAGTAATGATACTTTCAAGGCAGTGATATTGATACGCATATTCTACGAGCATTTTTGACACCTTTACTGGTCAACCAATCCAATCAATACAGAACATCACTGTAAAATATAATTTAGCCAGTAGAATTATGGTAGATACACTACCACATCTTTGTATACTAATTGCATACACAAGAACCGTATGTTTAGTACAGTAATAGAGTACTTGTCAAGAATATGGACATTCGAGAATCGTCCTTTGGCGAGAGTAATCCGCTTCTTGTAAGGAATCGATTGGGGGGGGATGTTCCGAGAAAAGCAAATATAAATGCTGTGAATTTAGTCGATAGAGAATCGGAATCTGGGCAGACCGAATCATCGAGCAATGGCCATAGTAACACTGAGCCCACTAATTCCCGAGGTGATACCCCAAAAGATAGTGTATCGACTTCGAAGAACTACGAAGAGGTAATATATGATGCTGTATCATCTATACTATCTAAAGTTTTTCAGTTGTTGAGCCTCGTTTATGAGACTAGTCATAGAGTATACATCAAGCACAGGGAAAGAATTGCGGCAGGAAGAGTAGATCAGTCAGGAGAGGAAATAATTGAAGATGTACATAGCGAAGATCGTAATGTGAAGAGCGACACCGAAGAAAGCGTGGTCATAGTTGATGTTAGGAACAAACCATCGAATAATGTATTTGAACCATTACTACAATTTGACGAAGAAGAAGATGTAAATGAAAAAGAATCTCATCAATATGGTACAAGTTTGTCGATTGCAAAATATCCTAAATTTACTTCAAGTAGATCGCCGATAGGATTTAATGGATATTCTCAAACTACAAGGAAGCCTGATGTTTCGAATTTGGATATACTCGAGCCCTCTAGGGCAAACGATTACGATTCATATGTTTCCAAGTTTTACCTACCACACGAGCCAATATCAAAAAATAAATATTCCTTAGTGGATACCCTCATAGATAATTTCTTTGTTGATGGTATATCTGATATATTTAGGGAAAGAAAAGAGAGACAAAAGTTAATTTCAAAAGAAAGGGAGAACTTGAAAACTAGATTAGTTCCATTGTCTAATGACCATCTACAAACAGTGAATAAATATTGGAATCAGCCTCCAGGTTCAGTCGTTTCATCTGCATTTCAAATTGAAATTACCACTCGAGATTTGCAAACATTATGTGATGGACAATGGCTAAATGATAACGTAATAGATTTCTACTTCAACTTAGTAACAGCCAAGAATCAATCTGTCTTTGGTTGGACTACACATTTTTTTACAACTCTAAAGCTGAAAGGTTATCAAGGCGTCGCCCGTTGGTCTAAACGTAAGAAGGTGAATGTCACAGAAAAAGATTTAATTTTAGTTCCAATAAATATCATGGGCACACATTGGGCATTAGCTGTTGTAAATAACAAAGAAGAAAAGTTCCAATATTTTGATTCTTTGTCTTCTAATGGTAATTTGCAAGC